TACAAACGTCGGAAATGTTCTCGACTGCAGGAAGATCCGTCAAGTCTGGGCTGGTTGCAGCAGCTGTCGTCAGTAGTTGGACCTGGGCCGCAACCCTTCTTCAGTCGTCTACAGTAGCCTATGAATATGGCATCTCAGGTCCATTCTTCTATGCCTCAGGTGGGAAAAATCAAAAGACTAAGCATTGACTGCTCACTAATATTTTGTTAAGGTGCTACTGTCCAGATCATCCTCTTCGCAACGCTGGCAATCGAGCTCAAACGCCGTGCTCCAAATGCGCACACCTTCTTAGAGGCCATCCGTGCCCGTTATGGAACTACCGTCCATATCGTCTTTACTGTCTTCTGTGTGATGACCAATATCCTGGTTACGTCCATGCTGCTCACCGGCGGCTCTGCCGTCATGACTTCTCTTACCGGGGTTCACACGGTTGCAGCCTGCTTCCTCCTCCCGATCGGCGTTGTGCTCTATACTCTCTTCGGTGGTATCAAGGCAACTTTCATTACGGATTACATGCACACCGTGGTAATCATTGTCGTCATCTTCATCTTCGCCTTCTCTGCCTATGCCACCAACGATAAACTCGGATCCCCTGGCGCTGTGTATGAGGCACTTGTTGCTGCATCGAACCGCCACCCCGTGGAGGGCAACGCAGAGGGAAGCTATCTGACTATGCGGTCCAAGGAGGGTGGCATTTTCTGGGTGATCAACCTTGTGGGCAATTTTGGGTTGGTCTTTCTGTACCCCACACGTTCAGTCAATCGCTAACTCCCCCCGCAGTACTGTCTTCCTCGACAACGGATACTACAACAAAGCCATCGCAGCAAGCCCCGTGCACGCTTTCCCCGGCTATGTCATCGGCGGTCTCTGTTGGTTTGCCATTCCCTGGCTCTGCGCCAGCACAATGGGAATGACCGCCCTCGCTCTTGAGGGCACCCAGCGTTTGAGCTCGAGTGACGTGTCCGCCGGACTTGTGTTGCCCTTCGCTGCCGTCAAGCTGCTCGGCTACAGCGGCGCGGTATGCACCACGATCATGATCTTCATGGCAGTGACCTCCGCCTTCTCGGCCCAGCTGATCGCAGTCTCCTCCATTTTCACCTACGACATCTACCAGGGCTACATCAACCCCGAAGCCGAAGGCAAGCGCCTGGTCTGGATCTCACACATGACTTGCGTGGTCTGGGCCATCGCCATGGCTGCCTTCTCCACTGGTCTCTACTACGCCGGAATCAGCATGGGCTACCTGTATCTGTTGATGGGAGTCATCATCTCCTCCGCCGTCTTCCCCGGCGCTATGACCTTGGTCTGGAAACACCAGAACTGGATCGCCGCGGCGGTCTCCCCTCCTTTGGGTCTGGCCGTCTCCCTCATCGCGTGGCTCGTGACTGCGAAGAAGGAATACGGGGTCCTAACCGTCACGACGACCGGCTCCAAGTACGTTTCCTTCACACTTTCCCCCCACAAAAGTCCCTCATCCAAAGAACCAAGAACTAACGTAACCCAGCTACCCAATGCTCGCCGGCAACGTCGCCGCCCTCCTAAGCCCCATGATCTTCTCCCCCGTCCTAACCCTACTCTTCGGCTCCCAGAACTACGACTACGAGAGCATGCGCGCCATCCGCAAGGTGGATGACACCGACGTCGCCGCGGCCGCCCACGTCGACCTGGAGCAGATCCCCGGCGAGGTGGCGGCCCGCACCGCGGCACAGGAGGAAGAGGAGACGCGCAAGCTCAACCGCGCGGCCTTCTACTCGCGCACGCTGACCGTCGTCATGGTGATTTGCTTTCTGATCCTGTGGCCCGTGCCCATGTACGGCAGCTCCTACGTTTTCAGCAAGAAGTTCTTCACCGGCTGGATCGTGGTCGGCCTGCTGTGGCTGTTCTGCACCACCTTCGGCGTGGTGGTGTTCCCGCTGTATGAGGGCCGGAAGAGCATGGTCCGCACCGTGCGGTTGATGACTCTGGATTTGTTGGGGAGGGGTGGGGCGAGGAGGAGGCCGATCGAGGGCGAGGTTGTGGTGACTCCCCCGGCGGGTGCGGCAACGGGGACGGGAAGTGAGACGGTTTCTGGGGTGCAGACGCCGGTGTATGCTGGGGAGAAGGGGGTGTTGGACGGGGAGAAGTAGATTTTATTTGAGGGTACTCGTACTCTGGTATGGTGTGGATTGAGTGCTTGTGATGATGATGATTATTATGGATACGTTGCTGAGGGAGGTTTTGGTTCTTGCGCTTGGGTTTGTTTTCCGGATATATATACCCCCACTGTTGTTTTTAGTGTATTCGGTAAATGGCAATGTTTATGATATTGAATCTTATTTCGCTGGTAGACTTGAGCAGAGGGTGAACAGCACAGTATAAAACATGGCATCAACAAATAGACAAACAAGCAGGAAGCAAAGAGGTATCTTCCAATCCAGTCAAACATGAAGACAAAGGCACACCGTCGATGGAAACACTAATGACAACAAAACAACAGAACCCGACAGGAAACATCAAAGCATCTACTTATACACAAAGTTCTGCTGTCCTGGTTGCTGCTGCTGCTGCTGTTGCGGTGCCACCGCGCCCGATGCCTGGGGAGGTGGATAGTACGGTGCCCCGCCCCCATACGCCTGGGGCAATTGACCCGGTATGACTCCCGGAGGAGGCCTTGTATCCGGGGTGATATCCGGACGGTCGCTGTACGCCGATAATACTTAGTTGCTGTCGTGAGTTTGGAGGTCAGGTAATGGGAGCTGGTACGTACCCTAGATCCTGGGTGAAGCGGCATGTGTAGCAGGTTACTTCCTGTAGAAGATGGTGAGTTTCAAAACGTACCTAGTCATAGGTTAGAAAGAGGAGATCGCTTACCTTGTATTTATGCATAGCGAGAGGAATGACAGGCTGAGATGAAGTAATCGCGTTAGTATTCGAGTTCCAGTGATTGATGCCTGGGGCCGTCGGGGGCTGAACGTACAACAAAGCAGACGGTGAACCAGGGCCTGGCTTGGTTAGTGTCACGATCAACGGTATGTGAGAGTTTGAAAAGATGCTTACCATCTTGTAAGACAGTGTCCGTTCCAATGTTGGCCTGATGGAGTGGGTTATTCGTTAGTACTGTATATCCTATAGTAGCCGCTGTTGCTATGCTATCTAAATATAGCAGTAAACAGCGGCTACTATATCCCCCGAGAGCTTATTGATAGGTATCCCAAAGGAAAGATATCGAGAAAGAAATATACTCACAGTTGTAGCAGTAGGCACGAACATTCTCGTAGCCTTCTAGCATGGACGTGAATTCTGGTGGTGCCCGTGGTGTTAGCTTGATGCCGAAACCGGGCGCTCATTTCAGGGTCTATGGGGGATGCCGCTGTGGCGAGGGTGGAGTTGGTAGGTTACGTAGTGGTCTGGCACGTACCATGAGTCCCGAAGGTGATGCAGATGGCCATCTTGAGATTATGGAACAGTCAGGGGATATGGTGAGAGAGATAGAGAGCGATTGGGAATGCGATGAATAGAGAATGGAAATCGTGACGTCGTTCAGTTGGTTATTCGAAGCTCGATACGTAGGGAGACGATCGTAGGGGAAGGCAGCCATGTTAAAAAGAGCTGGGACTGAGAGGCGCGGACGTGTGGCGGCGGTGTGGCTTGGCAGCGGGTGGTTGCTGACTGCTGGGGCCTTGGCGGGCCGGTTTCGGGGATTCGGGGGTGCTATGGGGTTGGAGGGGGTGTCTGGGGAGGACTGCCCCTGTAAGGTAGATGCACCATCCACAGTGAACAGCTACGCAGCAAGAAGAGTTGCGATGATCGGATATCATTTCTTTCGTAACTAACTTTCTCATATTTTCTCTGAGAATAAATAGATCGAGAGGAGTCCTGCGAAGTAGTAGCTGGTATGTTTACAGAGATTCCCCCACCATGTTATGTCCTTCCAACCAGTCGCAATGGCATAAGAATAACCACGCCAATACTTTCAATTTATATATGAACATATCTCGGCGTGACTCGCCTGCAAAGAACTCCGAAATAGATACAGGAAACGCTTAACAATATCGACCATTGTGTGCCCTTCGCATGCTTATTGAGTCTTGAAAAGGAGGATGGCGCAGTGACCGAGGTAAAAGTAGATGAAATGTTTCGTCTCTGTGATCCCAGTCAGTCCATACCCTCAAAGAGCTTTCAGCTGTACCCACCGTGAGTCACAAAGCTGCCAAAGTTTCTTCCCACCACGCAGTGCCATGTTGCACCCTTGCGCGAGTCGAACTGCTAAGTTGTAAGTGGAATGCTGGAATTCGAGTAACGGAGCGGCGGCTGACCTCTCTCTTGATGTACTGGGCAATATCCTGCGACTGTCAGTAAGGTCTCTAAGTGACTTGCGATCGTAGAAACCTACCTTCTCAATGTGGTACTTGTCCATCGCCTCGATCGCTAAACAGCCCGCATTAGTTGGGATCAAGATCAGCCCCGCAGTCAATCATACCAACTTCAACAGCCTCCTGCTGCATGTCCTCCGTCTGGTATTCCGTCAGCGTTGTCCCAAGCTCCTATAGCTCTCGCTCTTCTTACCATATCGACGGACTTGATCTGCGCTAAACAAGCCCGTTAGCTCTCGTCTCCATCACGCCGCGGGTTGACTCACGCTCAAGCTTGTCCTTCTTTTCGGAAGCCATCTTGTTTGTAGTTTATCCTTGATCACAAGTTTCAGAATGGAGAGAAAGACCCAGAGATCGAATGAATAGTCAAAATTCGTTTGCGCAGTAAGTACCAATTGAAGCCCAACCAGGAGTATTGGGAATCAACAATTCCAGGTTGCGCGCCGCAATGATCCAAAGCCGATGGGGCTCGGGTCATGCCGCCCCTCACACCGCCTTCGGCACTATAAGGATGCCGAAAATAAAAAGCACCCTTTCAAAATTTTTTTCTGATTCCCGGATTTCACTCTTCCACATCCCGATTCCTGTGGCACGCACACTTTTCGAGAGAGTAGGCCACAGGGACCTGAAGCAAACCACTACTCAATCATGGAAAGCACCAGAGTTTTTGTCTCTGGCCTTCCGCCCACTTTCTCTGATGATCAATTGAGAAAGCATTTCGCCAGTCGCTTCCAGGTCACGGACGCTCATGTATTGCCCAAGCGCAGGATCGGCTTCGTGGGCTTCAAGAGCCATGAGGTTGCCCAACAGGCCGTGTCTTATTTTAATAAGACCTACATGAAGATGTCCAAGATCTCAGTAGACATTGCTAAGCCGGTATGTGTTTCACCTGTTGATCTCGTTGCACTTATCCTTCTTTCTTTTTTATTGTCTTACCCGCTGACGATTAAGGTGGTCTTGTGACTGACCAGTAATTTGTAGATTGATGCCGAACCTACCCCAAGAGCCCGCAAGTCTGGCAACGCCCAGGATCATGACGATGCGGGAAGTTCGCTCAAGCGTAAGCGCGATGGCGACAAGACCGAGGATCCCAAGCTGCAGGAGTACCTTTCCGTAATGCAGCACTCGTCTAAGACTAAGACGTGGGCCAACGACGACGCCATGCCTAAAGCTCCAGAGACAAACTCACCTGCAGAACAGCCCGTCGAAGACGAAGAAGAGGAGCCGCAGGAGCTCACTTACGCCCAAAGGAAGAAGGCCAAGCTTGGCGACGTCCCGGCTAATCCTAGAGAGTTGCATAGTGCGGGCCAACAAGCTGAAGCAGAACCAGAGCCCATGGTCGTCGATCATAGTGGCGAGGGTGATGCCGAGCCGTCGGCGGATCAGGATGATGCTGTCGCCCCTGAGGAAGAACAGGCGCCTGTCTCGGATGCGGACTGGCTTCGCTCCAAGACGAGTCGTCTCCTTGGCCTCCTCGACGAGGATGAGCAAGCAGAGTTTGACTCTCCCGCACAGCAGAAGCCCGCTGCTTCTCCCGAGGCAGAGTCGAGGATGGAAGTTGACCTCGAACCTGCTCAGGATGTCGCCACCACCGAAGAACCTTCCGCTGGTAAAATAGCGAAAGAGCCGGAGGTCGACACCAACATTGAGAACATTCGCATCTCAGCACGTCTCTTCGTCCGCAATCTGGCTTATGACACGTCCGACTCGGATCTTCAACCAATATTTGCTCCTTTCGGCCAAATTGAAGAGGTTAGTTACTTGGTTTTGATCGCGTTATACGTTGCATTGTCACCTCTCCCCCCAAGCTCAATGATGAACGACCTGATAGGGACATCCGATGCAAAGCAGATGATGTTGCCAGGAAACGAGTATTTTAGTAGATGCCTCGCATATCTGAAAGAGCTATACCCTCTCATGTTTTCATTCCACTCATCGTTTGGTCGGTCGATGCTAACATGACTAGATCCACGTTGCTGTTGATACTCGGTCAAACACCAGCAAGGGTTTTGCCTACATCCAATATGTCAATGCTGATGCTGCCGTAGAGGCCTACAAACAGCTGGATGGCAAGCACTTCCAAGGCCGTTTGATGCATATTTTACCGGCTGCTGTCAAGAAGACGTATAAGATTGACGAGACCGAGCTAGCGAAGCTCCCACTGAAGAAGCAGATGCAAATCAAGAAGAAGATGGGGGCGGCATCTTCATCTTTTAGCTGGAACTCACTCTACATGAACGTGAGTTATCTCGTTGCAATCTCGGATGCCCCAGTGCTAATTCAAACCAGGCCGACGCTGTCATGTCGTCAGTAGCTGAACGTCTTGGTGTGTCGAAAGCAGATTTGCTTGACCCCACTTCGTCTGATGCAGCAGTTAAGCAAGCGCACGCTGAGACGCACGTAATTCAGGAGACGAAAGCCTACTTCTCAGCCAACGGCGTCAACATTGAGGCCTTTAAGCAACGGGAACGTGGAAACACGGCTATCCTAGTAAAGAACTTCTCATATGGCGTCAAGACTGATGACATTAGGAAACTATTTGATCCGTATGGACAAATCACCAGGCTACTGATGCCGCCCAGCGGTACCATAGCAATCGTCGAGTTTTCGCGCCCCGACGAGGCTCAGAAAGCCTTCAAGAGTCTTGCGTACCGCAAACTAGGGGACTCGATCCTCTTCCTAGAGAAGGCTCCCAAGGATCTATTTGATCCCAACGTCGTGCCGCAGAAGCCAACCACCGAGATTAAGGCTGTCTCACAAGGATTCTCCACGGCTGACACGTTTGCGGCAGATGAGGCTGTCGATGACAACCTGCCCACAACCACTCTATTTGTAAAGAACCTCAACTTCGCTACCACCAACCAGAGCTTTGTGGACCTCTTTCGACCACTGGATGGCTTTATCACCGCTAGGATCAAGACCAAGCCCGACCCCAAACGCCCTGGGCAGACTCTCAGCATGGGCTTTGGCTTTGCGGAGTTCCGCACCAAGGCTCAGGCGCAGGCTGCTCTAGGCGCGATGAACGGCTATAAGCTTGATCAGCATGAACTGGTGGTTAGGGTGTCTCACCGCGGAATGGATGCTGCGGAGGAGCGGAGACGGGAGGACACCGCGAAGAAGGTGGCCGCCAGACGGACGAAGATCATCATTAAGAACTTGCCGTTCCAGGCCACCAAGAAGGACATCCGGTCGCTCTTTGGCGCCTATGGCCAGCTTCGCTCTGTGCGGGTGCCTCAGAAGTTTGACAGGACGGCCCGTGGTTTTGGTTTTGCTGACTTTGTAAGCGCTCGTGAAGCGGAGAATGCCATGGACGCCCTTAAGAACACGCACTTGCTGGGCAGGAAGCTGGTGCTGGAATTCGCGAACGAGGAGGCGATCGATGCTGAGGAAGAGATCAAGCAGATCGAAAAGAAAGTAGGAGAGCAGATGGACAGGGTGAAGCTACAAAAACTTAGTGGTCCTGGGCGCAAGAAGTTCACTGTAGGGGCCCAGGACGAGGAGTAGAGAGTCCCTTCTCTACCCTTGGTTCTTTTGACTTCCTTCCTCCCTGTTGATAGGGGACAGACAATGGCAATGGTGCACTGATGGTGATGATATCCCTTGCGTCCGGGACGCTGAGTTTGGAGGGCGGAAGTAGGCTCTCACGTTCGCCTGCGGCTGTCAACACGTACATACGCGTTCTGCACAGCGAGCGGATGCTCGTGCCTGTTCTCACGAGAGTTTCGTCCTGTCATCCCAGTAAGGTCCTTCTCCCGAGTCTCCGTGCTATTCAGGGCTCACTACTTCCCTTAATCCCTTATACCTACCTACCTACCTACCAATTCATACCTTCAATCGATGCGAAACCCTTGGTTATGGACGTGCAAATTAAGCTGGAGCTAGGGTTCTCACCAACATTCCGACCTGATCTTCGTAATTACCTCGTTACATTCCACACGTACGGTTGGAGACGATGTCGTTGGCTCACGCTCATTCCAAAGCCGGCTCTTTGCCACAATTCGTCCAGTTTGGATGCTGTGTACCTGCTTTTCAGGTAACGATGTCCATCTCACGCTGCGAAAACCTCCGAGTTGCACCTCACTGGAGCGTGCACCTTGAGGGACCCCCTTGCATCAGTCTCCGGCTCGTGCCCATCGTGGGCTTCCTTCCCTCCTGATTTGCTCCCCAGTGGTTTCCTGGGCTCAGCACTCAGTCTGGACGCGTGAAGCCTGGAAGGAGATTCCCTGTTGTCCCCCGCCTTGGACAATCGAGGTTCGTTGCCCTAGAGGGGTGGTTCATCAACAAGCAGCGGGATCGAGCAATGTCACTGGGCCTCCCTCTCGAGGGGAGAGAATGGTTCCCTATAAACACCATGCTGCTCGCTCCCACATTCTCTCTCGTAGGGTTCTTACATTCTCTCCAAGCATTTACGTTCTTGATCGCTGGGTTGGTGACTGCTACGTTCTTTGCCAGGCAGTAGTAAGCATTTCGCGGTCCTCGTCCCCCATCTCTTTGGAATTTGTCGCCATTCTTTCCAAGAGCCTACACTCTGGTCCGCCCCATGGCTACTGACTGGCAAACGGAGTGTATTCTGCCTCAACATCAACCCACTCTGGACAGTATCGGAGCTCACACGGACAGAGCCTTGCAGAACACCTCGGGGAACGTTCAGACGTACTCGGACAGCCTCGCACACAGTGGGATCACGGGGCGGGACGAGCATCTGCATCATCTAGCCTACAAGTACCCTCAACCTCCTCTGCCAACACATCCAGTGCCCACTGTCTCTAGCCTTGGGCCTCCTCAGAGCCTACGATTCCAGGCAAAGAAGCTGCGGCGTCTGCAGTCCGTTGGTCCAAACCTCGTGGGACCGCGTCGACCAAGAAGCTACCTCAGGTCGCAGAAGTATCTCGAGTATCGGGCCCGACCTCGCCGTGACACTGGCAAAGATGGGGAACCGGTATGGTCGGACGAACTTGAAGACGCGTTTCAACAAGGTGAGCAGCTTCGAATATGATAGTGTACGAGCACGCGAGTAACCCGATCAACAGCTCTCGAAGCGAATCCGCCGATGGGCCGACGGAAATGGTCGGAACGAGGGAAGTCCTATGGTCGAAATGAGCTTATTGCTGAATACATCTACAAGAAAACTGGTAAACGACGAACCAGAAAGCAAGTGTCCAGCCATCTGCAAGTCCTCGACTCATTCCTCAAAGGAGACCCGGACTGTAAGTCTCATCTGGCGTGAAGAAGGGCAAACACAACGGGACTAACGCAGAGCAGGGGAGCGACTCGTACGAGAAGAGGCGGCCGTCCGCTCGAACAGCCAACATCCGCCCAGTGGTCCAAAATGGAGGGCTTCCTTGGACCCTCCCCTGTCAAGTCATTATGGCAATCACTTCCACACCCCCCATTATGATCATTTGAGGTTGGGGCATGCTTATGCTGGCGATATCCCCTCGGCGCACATCTCCCTCAATTCCAGCCTCCACGACGCCAACATCAACACAGTACAGGGGCTTGGGTTTGATATGTGGGTCAGCGCTCCAGACAAGCCGAACCGAATCGACGACGCCATCCACATCTACAGCCGCCTCCAGGGAGACCAGCGCCATCCTGTTGCACCGCCGATGCCCTTGAAAGACCTGCCAGGGTGGCAGGCATCCTTTCCTGATTTGAATTTATTGATTGCAGATCCCAGTACCCCCCTTGATTGCGAGATTATTCTACTTGAAGCCAACCTGAAGTTGATGGATAACTTCCCTCCCACGGGGTCGAGATTGGGGATTCACCTGGAACTCGACTTTGCCCAGGCAACGGCCGGAGATGTGCCGATGGTTCACCAGATGAGCAACTGGACTTGTAAGACAACCATGTATGACAATGGCCGCAATGTCCATGAAGAGTGTCACAGTGTTGCGCAACCGGGGTCGACCAAGGTCAAGCCACTGTTTGAATCCCGATGGTGGGCCAACTGCTTCACGCAGCTCACGCAAGACCAGAAGATGGTCGAGGAACGAGGTCCACATCACGTTTCGCATGAAGTTGGGAGACAATACCTTCGCACCTTGACGGTAGTCCAGGAGATCCGGGCAGTCGCGCCTTATAATGTGCGACGGATGTCCACCAACTCGTACTCGGGCCATGGGGTGAACGAACCGAAGCGGGTCGCGATTCTGCTCTGGAAGTTTCGGCAGACGAGACCCAATGAGGTCGGCACCACCACTTGGCGTCGGATCATTCCTCCCCCAGAGCGGACTTTGCATGCGAGTCCCAAAGCCCCGACTGGACTGGACCTTCCTCCCATTCCACTAGACTCCCTCCTGATGAACCGCCCCGGCCCCAGTGCGTATCACCCGCCTCAGTCCCATGAACTGCTGCACACCACCAGTACCTCGCAGCCGCACTGGCCTCTGTACCAACAGCCCCAGGACAGTGTTGCCAACATGTTCAATTCCAATGGACCCTTCGACTTCCTCGGACACATCAAGGCCGAAGATCGGTTGGGTGACAAGACATCGGTGACGTCGGTGCTGGACTCCTTCTCCCATCTCCAACCGCACGAGACCAGCCAGCCCACGAGCCTCAGCGGTTCCACTGGCGGGCCCGTCATGATGAGTGTGCCGGATCTCTCCCTGTCGCATTCCGGCCTGCCTACATACGGGATCGGTCACGACGGGCACTACGTGCCACCGCAGTCCCATGGCGTGAATGTCCACGACAATAACACTGTCCTCAACAGCATCTTCGGGACCAGCGCGCAGTCTCTCGACGACATCGGCCACAGCCACGCCGCCTGGGCGACGCCCACGACCACCGGAATCCAGGGAGATGTCACCAGCGATAATTATACCCATCTTCACCACCACCACCACCACCACCATTTCCAGCCGTCCGACCATCAGAGCTCGGTACCGCGGGAGTCGCACGCCTCCACCAGTTTCGAGGGATTCCTACCGCCGGATGATGTGATGGACAAGCTGGTCGGAAGCATGCCCGGTGACCCGAGCCTCAACGGGGGTGGTCATGATCACCCGCATCCTACATATGCTGACAGCAATTCAGTGGAGGCGAATTAAAATGTCTTTCAACCGAGGGGTGGGTGGACTTTCCAAAAGCACAATCTGTAATATTATTCTTCTTCTCGGGGCAGGTTCTTGGATGGGATGGTGTTATTCTTTTTTTCTTTTTTAATTTCTGGGCTTGTGGTTCTGGATAACCTTTTATTGATACCTAATTGATTCGATTCTTGACAATGCAATCTATGCAGACATTATCTATAATAATAGTACGGAGTACCATGTAGGAGTAGAGTATACTGTATGGGTGTTTGCAGCAGGCCAAAGTGGGTCAAGGCCAATTTAGCCGGACCCGCCGGCTGCATTTAGCCGTGGGGCGCAAAACAGCCGCCAGAAGCATATCATTTTAGCCTCTAATGCATCATCATTCGATGCCGTGCCTGGTTAATTGCTTTCATCCCCTCAATTAGACTTTGGCACCTTCTGGAGGTCTGGACTGGGGGCGGGGGGCAATGGAGGGGCAATTTGTCCGATCTTTTAACCATCTCCGTGTCCTTTTCCTTTCCTTTCCTTTCCTCTCTCCTCTACTTTCCTTCCTCATACTCTCTCTTACCCCGAAAGACCAACTCTGATCCCAACACAATGGCTTCCCCCACCGTCAAGCTCAACAGCGGCCACGAGATGCCCCTCGTGGGCTTCGGTCTGTGGAAGGTGAACAACGACACCTGCGCGGACCAAGTCTACCACGCGATCAAGGAGGGATACCGACTGTTTGACGGGGCCTGCGGTATGTCCTCCGTACTGGAAGGTGTCTTCCAACACTCTCAGATCCACAACCATACTAAACCTCCTGGGTCAAAACAGACTACGGCAACGAAACAGAAGCGGGCCAAGGCGTGGCGCGGGCCATCGCCGACGGGCTGGTCAAGCGCGAGGAGCTGTTCATCGTGTCGAAGCTGTGGAACAGCTTCCACGACGCGGAACGCGTGGAGCCCATCGCGCGCAAGCAGCTGCAGGACTGGGGGCTGGAGTACTTCGACCTGTACATCGTGCACTTCCCGATCGCGCTCAAGTACGTCGACCCGGCCGTGCGGTACCCGCCGGGCTGGGAGTCCGAGAACGGGCAGCTGGAGTTTAGCAACACCCCCATCCACGAGACGTGGAAGGCGATGGAGACGCTCGTCGACGCCGGCCTGGCCCGCAGCATCGGCATCAGCAACTTCAGCGCCCAGCTGGTCATGGATCTGCTGCGCTACGCCCGCGTTCGCCCCGCCACCCTGCAGATCGAGCACCACCCCTACCTGACTCAGTCCCGGCTGGTGGAGTACGCCCAGAAGGAAGGGTTGGTCGTCACCGCGTACAGCTCGTTCGGGCCCTTGAGCTTTTTGGAGCTGGAGGTCAAGAATGCGCTGAACACGCCGCCGCTGTTCGAGCACGAGCTCATCAAGGAGATTGCCGCGAAGCATGGGCGCACGCCGGCGCAGGTGCTGCTGCGGTGGGCGACGCAGCGCGGCATTGCCGTCATCCCGAAGAGTAATGATCCCAAGCGGTTGCAGCAGAATTTGGAGGTCACGGGCTGGGATCTGGAGAGTTCGGAGCTGGAGAAGATTAGTGAGCTGGATCGCGGGTTGCGGTTCAATGATCCTTTGGGAGTGAGTCCCCCCCCCCCTTTGTGACTTGAGGTTGAGTGATGCTGACAAATTTTTCCAGTACGGGCTCTATGTCCCCATCTTCTAGTTATGTGTTATGATATATGAATGATACTATTTCGACTTCATCTTGTCTTGGCCCCTGTGAAGTGTAATGTAGTAGTATGCCTGTTAAAGTACTCGTCCAATATTCGACCTACGCAAGACATTGCAAGAGAGGTACCTCCACTTGGGAGCAGAAGTCTGCCGAATCAATTGCATAGACACCAAGCGTTATAGCCAATACATAGCTGAGTCGTATATGTAACAAGAACTACAATTAAATTTATCGCCCTACCCAAAAGACAACTAAGGCTCAAGCATCCGTAGCCCGCACGCAGATTACTCGTACCTACTGTACAGTACACTCACGATACCGCGATAAGATAAGACCAGCGATAAGCACGCCAAGCAGTGCAGGCCAGAGGGTCTCATCTCCGCGCAAACCTACTGTGCCTTCCCTCCTCAACACCAACCAATCCAACCCAATTCATCCCATCCCAAACACCACATTAACTCCAACCCCAATGCAATAACCCACACCCTTCTTCCAAAGGCAAAGAGAAAATGTCCCTCTTCTCCAAAACAATCCACATCACCGCGCACCCAGCGCCGCGCACCCTCTCCGACAGCAAACTCATCCTCTCCGCGCTGCAGAAATTCGGCGAAGTCGTCACTTTCCGCAATTTGAGGGTATGTCGGGCCCAACCAATCCTTCACCCCCAAAATACCTTCTCCCAAGACAAGAAACTAACCGACCGAAAAAGTACGATATAACAAACCCCCCAACCGCCACCAGCACCAGCAGCACAACCGCCCGCCCCCAATCCCACAGCATAATCGCCATCTACGAATCCGTCGCCGCCGCGACGGCCGCCTGCGCCGCCTCCCCGTTAGCGATCCCTCTTACTCCGGACGCCCAGGCCCAAGCCCAAGCCCAGGCCCAACACCATAGCCCACAAGCACAGTCACAGTCACAGTCACAACCACAAGCACAAGCACAACCACAACCACAACCACAATCTCAAGCTCAGACGAAACAAAAACAATACTACACTCCGCTCCCCCTCCCACCGCAGCAGCAACACGCGGCCCTAGACACCGCAACACACTACCCCTCAACACAAAACCACAACTCCCTACCATCCGAGCAGCCCGACGAAGACCCCACAACAATAAGATGCACCCTGACCGCCTCGCGCATCAACCACGCCGCGGCCATACGACGGAATCCCTGGTCCGCGGGGTTCGAGATTGAGAGGACGAGCCACCCGCAGATGTATGAGGATCTGGTGCGGGTGGGGATTCCGCTGAGGGAGTTGGCGGATGGGCCGGCGGGGCGGAAAAAGGCGGTGGCGCAGCCGCATGGGCGGCGGCAGAGGATGGAGGCTGAGACGGTGCGGTGGGGGGCGGCGAGTTTGATGGGGTTGTTTGGGGAGGGGCATAATAGTAATGGTGGTGGTGGTGGTGTAGGGAGGAGGAGTAGGAGATGATTTGGGGTTGGAGCAGAGAAGAGAAGCTGGTGTGAAAGCTAGCTGGGGCGAGAGCTAGTCTAGCCTTTCTTTGTACATAAATCTTCTTGTATACTACATTTCAACTTTCAAAATGAAGCATGGTTGTGGTATATGCATATCGTATATCATAGCCTTATTCTCAGGATTCAGGGCGCGAGTCACGTGTTTGGATCAAGAAGATTATTATCTATTCCAGTGGTTCCTGGGTTGCGAGCAGATATCTCGACCTGTTCGTATACTCATACTCTTCCCCCCCCCTACATTCCTGGACATTCCTGGACATCATGCAACGCGCATATACGCTACATGGGTTAGCGCTGCGTTAGCGCTTCGTTTCGTTATAGTGAGGGGAAGAAAGCGAACTTACTTGCGTCCACCTGCATGATGTGCGGGATCGCCAACCGCACCTTGTTGCGATACAGGGCCGGCGCCCGCATCTGCAGCGGGTTCCCCTCGAAGTACACCGTCTTCAGCTGCTCCTTGTCGCGCAGCTCGCGCTCCACCTCGTCGAAGCTGGCCAGCTGGTTGTTCGACGCCCACAGCTCCTCCAAGTTCGTCAGGTGCGCCAGGTTCTCCAGCTTGGAGACCTGGTTGTTGGAGAAGTCCAGCACCCGCAGCGCCCGGTTGTCCTCGAGCCCGCCGAGCTCCGTGATCGCGTTGTGCGAGAGGTAGAGCTCCTCGAGGTTGTGGAGCGCGGACAGCCCGCTGATGCGGGTGAGGCGGTTCGATTGGATGGAGAGGATCCGGAGGTTTTGCAGGGCGTCGAGGTTCTGTTTGTAGACATAGCACACGAGGATTAGCTCTACTCGCATTGAGACCCCGAGAAAGAACCACAGTGTCTCTATGCTTACCTTCAACTCTGTAATCTTATTCTTTCCCAACCACAGTTCCTCCAATGCTTGTAGTGTCTCCAGATTCTCAATCTCCTGTACACCTCGTTAACTCTCTCATCACTCCCCTTCCGCCCCAAGCATCCTCAGAGAGAAGAGACAAAACCCACCCGAATCCGATTCGCCCCCAGCTCCAAATTCCGCAGGACCGTCAACCCCTCCAGCGCCTCGATCTTGGAGATCTTGTTCTGCACGAAGTACAGATCCGTCAGCTTGACCAGGTGCGCGACGTTCTTGATGTGCTTGATCTTGTTGAAGCTCAGATCCAGACTCGTCAGGTTCTCGAACTCGTCCAGCCCTTTGATGTGGGAGATCAGGTTGTCGTAGAGGTCGAGTTCGGTCAGCGATTTGGCGACGGGGGTCGGGAAGTCGATGCGCGAGATCTGGTTCTGGCGGAGGCATATTCTCTGTTGTTGATGTCGTGGTCAGGGTCAGCTCTCTGCCGCTCCCTCCAGCAATCTCTTTGACCACCGCGCGAGACATTCTCTCTTGCGAGACGGGACGAGGAGCATACCTTAACCTTCTCAAACCGCTCCAACTTCAACGCCGGCAGCGAAGTTATCCGACAATGTACCAAATCGATCTCCTACTCCCACCACAACAGTAATGAGACCAGTTAGCATCGCCACAAGAAAAAAAAAGACAACAAGGACCCCCGCCCGCGACTGCAGCGCAGCACCAACCACCAACCACCAACGCGTCGTCGCATCGCATCGCCCGCGACCGGAAAAGAACCGGAACCCCCTCACCTCGGTATCCACATCCTCATCTTCTAACAAATCTACCAAACCAATATTCACGGATCAGCTTGACTAAAACCCCAAAGCGCGAGTCTGAAAGGGTCGAATAGAGTGGGTGGGTGTGCGCGGAAAAGGTGAGGTAGGCGAGAGAGCGCACCTTCATCAGCCTGGATCTCCTCCACGGGCGGCGCATCCGAGTCGGAGTAATCGGGATCTTCGAGAGCTTCGGGGTTGGTGATGATGGCTTCTTTGGGGGGCTGCTGCTCGTCGACGGCGGCGGCGCCGCCGACGCGGAGTTTCCCGTCCCAGCCGTGGCGGTCTTTCATTGTTGTGTTTGGAGGGGTATGGATGTGTGTTGTGTGTCTGGGGAAGGTGAGCGCGTGAATGATCCTGTTTTTCTTTCTAGAAAAGTGGTGTGAGTCTGCGCTGGAACTCCGGAGGGCGGATGTGGGGGGGAAGGTTCAACGTTGACCGACGGAGGAATGACGATGCCGAGCGGGGTTTTCTTTTGGAGGGTAGAGGGAACTAGATGATGGTTGGAGTTGGGGTGGAATACCTCTTATTTGGTTCCTTCTCTTGGTTTATCGCCCCTCAAGATCGAAATTCTTATTCAAAAGACACAAAGAATGATTCGAATGAAGTTCAGAAGGCAAAAAAGTGCCGGATGATAAGTAAAAACACGAGCAGCTTGGTTCAGTTGACGCGGTCAGGCCGATTAAGTTAACTCCGTCGGATGCCGCGTACTATGTCAAGTTGACCTATTATACCACTTTCAACTACCTTACCCAACGCTACACACCGAACCAGCCACCAACTAATTACTCTGGATTCCGCTTGTTGCATGACTCGTAGCCTTTATTGGTCTCTCATGAAAAAACCAAATATTTCAAACACAGGACGCGATGGAGTGACGACGCTTCTATGTACAGGACGTAGGCCAATGGTACATACACTGCAAGATCACCGATGTTGTCAATCCTGGGTCGATGAGATACTGTGCGTTTACCAGAGCATGGACATGTGGGGGGTAGACAGGTATCAAGATGTCATCCACTATCGAGGTCTCCAAAAAGCGAGGCAGATCGTAGTAGACAAATAACAAAACGCACGGCGGGGTTTTGGGATCACATCTTCGGATACAAGAGCAAAAGAAAAAATAACCAGAGCGGTAAGTCGAGCTTCGGAGGGCTGCTCGTGTGCAGATGACAAGTCAGGCGCAAGGAAATAAGAAAGACATATGAGAGAGTGTGTAAGAATAGGTAAAATCGGAGAGCGTATACACGAGATCAGCAGAATTTTGGCTGATGACCAAGACGGACGCCTGCAGAATGCAACGACACACGCACACAGTTTTAAGTAGTAAGGAGAAAAATAGCAAGGGGGTAATCAGGTATCTACTCACTTGGAGTGTAAAAAACAAGAGATGAAAAGGAAAGCAAAAGTAAAGAAGAGCAAAGAGATCGGTGCGGCGGGGTGGGAGCGCACTGCAAAACAAAACAGGAAACATGGGGAGTCAAGGAAACATACATCTCCACTCCGGAAAACCGTGAGTCCCGGCCTGCCTGGAGAGGCTTGCTTCCAACCACGACACCAAAGATGTGTTGTGGCTAGTCATAGCCACTGTGTCAAGCGTGCTGAGGACAAACGTGGTGGAGTCCAAGAAAGCAAAAGGCCCATGCTGTGATGCAGATGCTAGACGAGCTAGATATACAGGCATTACAATGCAATGTCAAGAACAAGACTGACGTCTTTCACTTGTGCCCCGGCAAGGTCTTCGAGGACGGGAATTAGATCTAGGAGCTCGTTATCGTGGGCGTCAGAGAACCAGCTGCTGATGGGTATCGCATGTTGAGGGTGGAATATATAGGATGTCGGGGAGTTGTCGATAATGATGGTGTCTCGTAGGTCGCGACCCACTTGTGACAGGTCCTAACCACAAGGTTAGTGTCCGACCGGAGCTCATATTAGGGAGAATTCAAACCTTGACATAGTTGCCTTGGTGGTTGTAGCAGCTGTCCCTGAACAAGCGGTGGTGCACAACGTTGTGGATGTCCAACTGATCCAGCAGGGGATCGCCATACTGCAGTTCAATTAGTGACTATGCCGATAGAAGAGGCGAAAATAACCCACTTTGGAGACGGAGGCGGTAAACACAACGACCTCATACAACTCCCCGACCCTTTTCATGAATTGGTCGACGCCAGGCCGTTTGATGACGTAAATGTTGTGGTACTGGCCCTCAATTTCAACAGGTATGGTGAAGTCTGCCCGTTCAAGAACCTAGAATTACCATTCAGTATTTTGACTGGCTTGGAAACAGAAGGGGGAAAATACCTTGAAGCTACTGTGAACTAGCGTTTCATCCAGATCCAGAACCAAACACTTTCTGTCACGCAGGTGAGGTAAAGGCGGCGGCAGAAGGAATTGACCATGCTCATCAGGGTCCACCGTCTCGATGTGCTTCTCGCTCGGAGGCATCGGCGGGGGCGGTAGCTCGGGGGCTAGCGTCGACGCCTCTTCATCGTGGGAAGCGTACTTGAGGTCGTTTGTTGTGTCGTTCTCCGCGGGGAACTGGTGTAGCTCATCGTCCGCCGGATGAAGTTCCTGAGCCTGGGCCTGCTCCGTCTGCAATCGTGACTTCTCCTTGTCCTGTGGCACGGCATCGTCCTCGGTCTTTTCGACCCCATTCGGGTATACGGCGCCCCCTTCAACGGTCGCGACGACGATGTTCGGACCCTGAGTTTCGGAATCGTCCTTGGTCGGAGTGTGCTGCTGATCCTCTGCAGCTTGACCGGACGGTGCTGCCAAACCATCGGGCTTCAAGCCCTGATCCAAAGCTTTACCAGTGCGCTCCTCGTCTTTCTGCGATCCTGACTGATCCGCCGTGACAGTCATGTTGGACTTCTCGTCGCGATAATAGCATGGTTCCTTAGATTCCGCCGTGCTCGAGTCTCCGGCATTAGCCTCTGTCTTCTCGGGAGTTGGCTGCGTGTTGGGAACTGATGGCCGTCGGGATGTTCTCTTCGCGGGAATAGCTGTGTCCTCCGGGTCGTCGTTGGAGGAAGAACAACAACTGAGAAACGCGAATAGCCTGTAGGTGACCTTGCTTTTCCTTTCCGGTTTGGGAGTGTCACGCAGACCGCCGCTTGCTGTTTTGTCCTGCTCTATACTTCCCCCTTCCTGATTTTGTCGACGTGATCGCATACTGCTGCCTCTGCTCCGGTCGCGTCGCCCTTTCAGGATGCTTCTTTTCGATCCGCGGAGAGTGTTCTCGGAGTCATCGTTGACAGTATCCTGGCTCTTGTCCAGAGTCGACTGCCGGTCGGCCTTCAGGGATGCACGCGACGAGATCGGGAGTAGTAGATGATGCTTTTTCGGAGGATCAGTGGAGGTAGTCGCAGCAACGCCTGGAGTCGCGACAGACGGTTGAGCCGGGTCGATAGCTTCTGGACCGGTGGACGGGGCTGATGCACTTGGATTGGCGGATTGTTCCTGAGGCGCTGCCTCAGGATCTAAAGAAGTGAAGTCTTAGCGATCATATTCATCAAAAGCGCCCGGTCGCATTAGAGAGTAAGGGGCGGAAAGCTTACTTGGCTCAGGGTGAGCTGCTGTGACAGACATGGACGCTTGTTCTCTGGCCGCGGTGGAGTTGGATGGTAAAGAATCTCGCTCCGAGCTCCCTCCGAGCATTGAGGGTAGCAGAGCGAGGTTCACGGGGATGGAAGGCGATTAAGAAAAAAAATTAAAAGGAGGTGGGTGTGGCAAGAGGACGAAACGTCGGAACAAGGACCACCAGGGTATCCGCCGAGGAGAGGGGGGGATGGGGAGGGGAGGGGAGAGGGACCGGACCGGGGCTCGTTGAAGGTGAAGGTGCAGCAGCAGGCACGCCTCCTGGATCTGGCGGAGGAGGGATGGAGGAGAAGAATAGATGGAATGGAGGATGGAAGTAAAGCAAGTCAATACCAGCAATAGCAGTCCTCAGGTAGGTCAAGGTTGCTTGGACTAGCTCTGGGTCGCGGACCACCGCCTCGAATGAGGCTAGTGCACAGCACTAAGACTTGTCGCAGTTGGGGGAATTTGGGGGGGAGGGGAGCAATCCAATCACTGCTTAGACCTTTCTCCAAAAATCCTGGAAACCGGACTGTAGGCAAGTATAAAATATGATCATATGCGACTGGCACGATCTCGCCGTCTGGGGGAACGCTCGCAGGGACAGGCTGACAGGCAGGCAGGCAGGCAGGCAGAGGCAGGGTCGGGCGTGGGAGTGCAGAGAGGAGATCACGTGGCAATGCCAGGATGCAGCTCCTCGAACTCTCAATAATAAATTACTAAGAATAAAAATTAAAAAGTTGAGAGGGAGGGAGAAAGGGAAATGACCGGGTACTGGAGGTGGAACGGGCCCTTCCTTTAGGGTACAACGACGGGAATGTTGCACTGGGGCTGACGGATGGGGAGGGGAGGAGTGAAGTTTAATAATGATAATAAAGGAAAGGTGAAGGTTGCTGAGCCCTGGTCTTGTCCTCTGATCGGCGGTCGACGATCAGGTCTTCTTGTCTCTGGTCCTTATGGCCTGTTTGATGGCCTGTTCAAGCGCTTAGATGAAGGAATAGGAATAGCTGAAGCTGGTCAGGTAGCAGCGAACAGCAGGAAAAGCAGCCGGCCGAAGGATAAAATGAAGAGACGAGAATGTGTTCTTACGAAATGTGAGGGGAGGAACGAAAGGAGGGGAAGGAAACGGTAATGTAATCCTAGGTTGCACAGAGGTAAAGGAGCACCACTGCTTGGGGGTGTATTAAACAAGCCTGGTGTCCTGAGCTCGGCTCCTGGACTTACTTGACTAACCGATTTGAGAAGACGACAAGAGAAGGAGATTAACAAAAAAAGGGAAAAACGGAAAAAGGGGACCAAATGACCAACTGAACAAGAAGGCCACAGGAGGGAAGATGGAGGGGAGGAGAGGGAGGAGGAAGAAAACAGAACAGACAGACAGTCCTGACGGAAGAGGAGGAACTGAGAGGAGCGGGGGAAAGCAATAATAAGAAATCACATTAATAACAATAATCTTGACCATGACAATAAGATAATAATTACGCCAGTTGACTCGGATCAAACACTGTATCATCCCAAGACAAATTGCCTATGCACGTACATTTTCTTTTGCTTGGACATGATTGAATGGACGTGCACTCCAAAGTGTTCTGTATGCCTTCTTCCCTACCGTCACAGAAGTTGGCAGTTGGTCTGCGGAGCCTCTCCGTACAGCTTGTTAAGAAGGCGAAAAGGAGGAGGGCAGAGAGCCGAGGGTGAAAGTGGTCTGGACCGGAGAGGAAAAAGGTGCAGGGCTGCAACACAGTTCGGGCGGAAGTGGGAGGTGCCATCGCAATTTCATTGCTCGTTCAAATCAATGCTAGGCTAAACATGACATCTGCTTTGGTTTAGTCCGAGCAGCAGCCTTCTCTACATTATCCACCCTCCTCCCCATGCTTTCATCCTCTACTTTAGATTGAACCAATCACCCGCATTTATCCCCCGAGTTCAAGCGCACAGGGACCCATTGGAAAGGCAGGTGTTTCCACCGCAGATGACCAGAGTGGGCATTATCCAGGGGTATCAGCATCAATGATCTCACTGAGGTCGGTGATACTCAATACAGGCACCGGCACCTGCTTCCATGATGTCTTTTTGCTCTACCTAACTTATCCTCCTCAACAATCGATCTCTTCTTCAATCATTCGGACCTGGGCTAATTCATGCAGATGGACATTGCTTCTCATTTGTACTTCACTTCCATATGAATTAACAGCTAATATTACTACCACGAGCGATCAGACTGACTAGCCAGTAGCACAGAATCTTGATTCAATGTCAGTTCTTGAGATCCTGCACGGGACGGATTTCGCCAGATACCGGCCGACCAGCTCTAAAAACGGCGATAGCCCATGTGCCTTACAGCTCCACCCTCTTGCTCGCTCGTATTCCGATCGCAGGCTTCATCTGTGGCAGGCTGGCAGTTCTCAGACTCCACCAATTGCTGGTTCTACAGGGCCAACCTTATTGATCTAATCCTCCGCCATTGGCATTCGCATGCGATCGGCTCGCGACCCTCTTCAATAATGATGTTCATCCATGCGTCCAAGACCACTAGTAGACCTTCGCCCACAATAGCTAACCGCCATCTCTACCTTATCACAAATTCGCAGTGCGTTCGGGGCGGAGCAAGCCTGTATTCCCGACTGAGCTTGCGAATCAGAAGTCACACAACGGGCTGAGCCCAGGCCTCAGGTCCGTGCATCCCCTCCCAAGAGGGCTTTCTGGATTCGCGGGCAGGTGGTTCATTTCCCTATCATGCAGCAAAGATCGATATTTTCCGCTGTAGACTTGATCAAAGGCACACGTACCGCGACTACCTGCATGCGTACAGTTCGATGTAGCCGAAGTGTGTCTACTCCGTATTACTATGCGCCCTCTTCGCCCCCGGTCATCGCCCGCATGGAATCGAGATTATCGCCATAGACGCTCTGTATCCGGTCGCTACAGGTGGGCTAATTTAGCTAGCTCAAGGGTGTGGCATGCGCGCTTGCCCAACGTGTAATCAATCAAATCCAGTGAGGTTGGATGCAGAGCGGGCAAAGAACTCTTAAGCGCCCGTCGATGCTCGACAGCTTTCTGATAGTGATCTCTCTCTCACACACACACGATGTGTCATCACAAAAAGAGGTCTAAAGCCACCAGAGGTAGGTCTGTCAAGGGCCATCTCGACCCCTCTTGATTCAAGGAGTATGATACGTACACGCTCGAAGGTAGATGTATGTATAGATCTTGCAACATCTGCATTAGCCTTAAGCTTCCGGGTAATTGGCGCATCTCGTGCTTCTGGGGGGACGCCGAACACTTCGAACTCACGGCAACTTGCCCGTTATCAAAGCTTAACCCAATTTGCAGAGTATGTACAGAGTACTAGGTAGTCACTCACACTACGAAAGTCCTTCAAACCGCATATCTCCTAAGTACTTCCCGCCCACGGATCTCCGCCATCAAGGCCGAGGACGCCATATAGTAGCAACCCCGCAAAAGTTGCCCACCAGAATTGGCATTCCATGTCTCCAAACCTTGAAAGCAGTCCTGATGCCCAGAATTTATCGCTCGTATCGTTACGCAAGATTGTAATCGCTACGAATTGTGCCTCTAGCAGGACAATCCCAGCTTCTTAGCTGCAGTGACCCTGGTCTCCTTTAGGATAGCGGGCGCTTACGCCGGGCGCCCGGGTGCAGGAGTGCACAACCACCATATGGAGCTGTCCATGCAGCCTTGAGATCGCGAGGACCTGAGTTTCTCTTTGGTGCTGGTCTGTAGGGATAAACCGAGGGATCAGTCCTTGATTCACAGTGCATCAACACAGGGAGACATAAGGGCAGAGGAACTTGAAGGGAGAAAAGATGTAAAATTTATGGGAAGGGGTGATGGTCGAGTGGGCCGAAGGTCGAACCCGGGGGCTTGGCCTGCGGGCTGGCCGGAACGAGAAAGAAGACTACACTTTCTTTACTCGACCATCCGTTGTTTAAACTCTTAGTGTTCATAATCATCGCTTCCATCTTCCAAACGCTATGTGACAGCCAAGTCGCAGAACTACACATATCACTCGACAAAACTCCATATGCATTACTCGTTTCTTTAGGGAGACTCCAATATTGTAAGGCAAGGCTGCTCAGCTAGCCGACCGTAATACTTCCCGCAAAGAAAAGAAAGACTGTAGCACAGGCGGACCCCACAGTGTCATCGCATCTACTGAGTATCTGCTTGACGGAAATAGAGCCAGTCAGTCGGGTGAGCATCCAGCAATGATGGATAGTTAGTCTTGTCTGATTGAGTAATCCCCATCAAATGACCATCCCTGATTTCTGGACAGAGTCACATACCTACTGAGTACTGTATGTGTAGGAGCGACCGACGTCAGAGTCTGGGGACTCCGCACGTGAGTCTCCGCCTCTCCGCAGGGTTGGTTGGCCCGAGGTCTTCACATGCGCGCAACTCCGCTATTAGCTTCAACGAGTACCAAGAATGTGACCTGTCGCCTGAGTTGTCTCTGACCCCTTCTTCCACTTCCATATCACAGCTCCCTTGTATCTTTATCAGTTTACCCCACGTTGCAACACAGCACTTACTATCGGCCCTCATGGCCCTCAGTGTCCGAACCTGAGGGTGACATCTGCTGCACCGGCAGCCTGCGATCGTGGCAACCATACACCACCTCTCGAGGTCCCGCTGCCTGTCAATGAGACGGAGAAATGGCCGCTCAATCGACGCTCCAGCATCGGGAGGATCCTCTCGTGGCATTGTACCACTACTATGTCAACCTCACTCGTGCCCGGATAAAGCGCTCTTCGAAAGCGGCCAAAACCGTCGCCACTATCGCTTTGATCCTCTCGATCTTGGGAACTGGATATGGAGGCTATAAATGGTTTCGCGAGAGGTCGAAGGAACATGCACAGGGCAGGCGGTTACTACGCCGGAACTCTGGGATCAGAGGGAAGGATGGAACCCGGACCATATACGTACCCTACAAGGGATCCATGACTTCGAAGGTCAAGATCTATCCAACCAAACCCACGACGTTTGATGCGCACCGGCGACTGTTTCTAAACCCTCCTGCTGCCGCCCGCGTCGGGGACGGCGCGTCCAGTAGCCAGACCCCACCGCCGATGACGAAGCCAGGTCTGAACCTCGCTTTCCTGCATCAGTTCCTCAGCCTTGGAAGCATCATGGTGCCCCGATGGAGCAGTAAAGAGACGGGTCTTCTGATGGGTCATGGCGTTTTCCTGCTCCTGCGGACGTATCTCTCTCTACTGATTGCACGCCTTGATGGTGAGATCGTGCGAGACCTCGTCGCCGGCAAGGGCCGGGCTTTTGCCTGGGGCATCGTGAAGTGGTGTGGCATTGGAACACTTGCATCATACACCAACGCTATGATCAAGTTCCTCCAGTCAAAAGTGTCTATCGCGTTCCGGACCCGCCTGACGCGGTACATCCATGATCTCTACCTTACCAACGACAATAACTACTACAAACTGATGAACCTGGACGGCAGCATCGGCCAAGGGGCGGACCAATTCATTACGCAAGACCTCACCCAGTTCTGCACTGCAGCAGCATCACTTTATTCTTCGATGGGCAAGCCGTTGGTGGACTTGTTCGTCTTCAATTACCAGCTTTATCGCTCTTTGGGACCGTTGGCTCTGACTGGGATCCTCACTGGGTATTTCAGCACGGCGGCAGTCCTTCGGAGACTCTCACCTCCTTTCGGCAAATTGAAAGCGGTGGAAGGGAAGAAAGAGGGGGACTTCCGTAGCTTGCATTCCCGACTTCTCGCGAACGCGGAGGAGATCTCGTTCTATGGTGGCGCGGACATCGAACGCGTGTTTCTGGCAAGAAGTTTCAAAGACCTCCAGCGATGGATGGAGGGAATTTACAGTCTGAAGATCCGGTACAACATGCTCGAAGATGTTATCTTGAAGTATGCCTGGTCTGCATTTGGGTATCTCGTTACATCGCTGCCGATCTTCCTACCTGCGTGGGGCGGATCGGGCGGCGCCCTGGAGCTGCTTGATTTGCCAGAAGGCACCGGTCGTGAGCGCGACCGCATGAGAGAATTCATCACGAACAAACGCTTGATGCTGTCATTAGCGGACGCGGGCGGCCGTATGATGTATAGCATCAAGGACATTTCGGAACTGGCCGGGTACACATCCAGAGTCTACAGCCTCATCTCCACCCTCCACAGGGTTCACGCAAATGCATACTACCCTCCGCGGGACTCTGGTGTGGAGTTATACTCCTTGGCCGACGTTCAGGGAACTGTTCACAATGGCTTCGATGGCGTGCGCCTCGAGCAGGTTCCCATCGTTGCTCCATCCCTCTATCCCCGTGGTGGTGATGAGCTTCTGGAGTCGTTGTCGTTTGTCGTGCACTCTGGAGACCATCTCCTGATCTCCGGACCCAATGGCGTTGGCAAGTCTGCCATTGCACGGGTTGCTGCCGGGGTGTGGCCGGTGTATCGTGGCTTGGTCAGTCGGCCACGGGGTTTCGGGCTCGACGGCATCATGTTCCTGCCTCAGCGGCCATATCTTAGCGTCGGAACCCTGCGGGACCAGGTCATTTACCCCCACTCGGAGATTGACATGCGCGAGGCCGGAGTATCAGACGCTATGCTGCAGAAGGTTCTGGATGATGCCCACTTGGGCTACCTTCCTTCGCGGGAGGGCGGCTGGGACTCCCGGAAAGAGTGGAAGGACGTATTGAGCGGTGGAGAGAAGCAGCGCATGGCCATGGCTCGCATCTATTACCACGAGCCGCGGTACGCGTTTCTTGACGAGGGGACCTCTGCGGTCTCGTCGGACGTGGAGGGTCTGCTGTATGATCGAGCAAAGGAGCGGGGAATCACGGTCATTACGATCTCCACACGCGCGTCGTTGAAGAAGTACCACACCTACAGCTTGAACATTAGCATCGGCGCAGAGGGAGAACAGTGGGAGCTGGAGAGGATTGGCACCGCCAAGGAGAAGCTGGGAGTCGAGAAGGAGATCCAGGAGATCCGCAAGCGATTGGACAAGGTAGAGGAGTGGAAACAGCGGCGTGAGGAGATTGAGGAGGAATTGCGCAAGGTCTGGGTGGAAGAGGGTGAACTTGATCCACCGCCTTACGAGACAGGTTCTGAAGCTGTAGAAGCTCACTAAGACGGGGTGATACCACTGCTTCATCTTGCATTTATAAGCGGTTGCGGCATGCTATATTCACCACCAACGGCTGCAAAGCTAGGGAAGCATCTCTACTACATGTCACATCACGTCACGTAAAGATTATGATCCTTTGGATAAGAAAGCATTCAGCCTGAGTTCGGTCTCAGCTGCAAACAATTCAATCAGAAGAGCCTGTCATTTTCGCTAAGCTTTTTCTTTCTAGTTAATAGATCTCATTTCATTGCCCCGTGAGTCACATGACTGGCAGCCACGGCGATGCGATAGAATCTCAACAATAATTAATTTTTTAACAATTTTCTAACAATTTCCAAAGCTTCTTTTCCCAGCGATTTTCTACGTTACCTGAATTATCACAGACCAGGCTCCTGTCTCTGAATTATTTTCACAAAATTAATCACAAATTTCCTGGCTATTGGTGACGACAAGAATGTCCAGTGGCTTCTTGGGACACCTGTTTCAAGAGTAGCGTAGCCAGTTTGTGTCTACAATTCCCGCGTCTCCCCTAAAGTCACTCCCAAAACCTTGCAAACAGAGGCTGCAAGTCAGCGCTATCCCGCAGAGGGTAGACCTGACCACCTAAATGTTTGACATAAAAATGGAAGGCGAAGATCCCGGGGCGATTGTCATCCCGATTGACTCGACATACAGCGATGGAGACCGCGCTGGCTGGCCGACGGGGGACCGATTCGACATGCCCGACGACAGCTACTATCGGCGCAAGATTGCGAGGCTGTGGGCGCAGAAGGTGGGCTTTTATGAACCTGGTAGGTTTGTGCTTCAATGTCTTTGTTGTTAATTTTGGTTGCACTTTTTTTTTGTCTCGTTTCTAGTAGCTATGTATACCTAAGTATAGACTTGGGTTTCAGTGATGCTTGCTTGCTTGTTTCCGTTCCGCCGTACATGTCTCTCGTTTGCTGCTTGTCTCAAGTTCGGGGTAACGTCTTTGCATTGGGGTTTGCTTGATGGCTCTCTTTGTACACCAGAGTCTTTACTTGTATTCCAGAGTTGTCTGGCTGGATTAATAATCCCTGAGTTCTTGTTGTAAATTTCTTTATTTGGCGCATTGACTATTTCATGTTCAACCTTATGCGCATGCACCTGGTGTGCACGATGGAAGTACCGTGACCCTGCACCTCTTACTTTCATATCAATGGCTATCTCAGGCAGATGCTGATATAAATACAGGAAAGGAATACATCCTGGACACTTTACCAGACGGGTATGCGATCTTCGACAGACCGCGCGGAACGGATCCTGATATCGTGAGTTGCACGACCGGTATCTGTTGAGTAACTCTTCTAACAGTGACTAAACCCCAGCGAGACCGTTTCCTCTACGGCCATCCTCTCCAACAATACTTCTACTCTACCGTTCAGTTCTTTCCGCATTTCTGCCATCTGATGAGCCGGGGCAAAGAGCCCTGCACCTGCCTTCTCTGCGAGAAGCTAGCTAAGCGCAAGAAAGGTACGTCCTTAGGATTGAGGATTGCTTCTTGGAAAACTACTGACGTGGTGTGTAGACGGCGTTCCGATCGGAAGAGGAGTCGGCCGGCCTCGCGGACGACCTCCAGGTTCGGGCACGCGTACGTCGTCCGGCACCAGCACCCCGATCAAGCCGGTAGGCACCCGCGGCAGACGCGGCCGACCCCCAGGCAGTGGCAGGAAACCCGGTCGACCTCCTGGCTCTGCTGTTGCTGCTGCTGCTGCTACTTATGCTGCTGCTGTACGCTCCTCCGGACGACTCCCCGGCCGGCCCTCGGAATCCAGCATGTCCTATATCGCCGACAGCGAGGGCACCCCGGACGTGTTCAAAGCCGCGGTCATCAAACTCCGCGCGAAGGGCCAGCTCGACGAAAAAATCACGGAACCTGTCAGCATGGACTGGCGCGCCGAGCGCACGCCGCTCCGCGAATACCTGGAGAAGCTGAACATGCTCCCGTCGTTTGTGCCGCGCACGGGCGAGCTGGTGCTGTGGACGACGGAGTACGAGGGGAAGCTCGCGTGGAACCCGGAGGCGGGCCAGGTCCAGATCTACCGACACAAGGAATGGCACGGGGCTCCCGAATGGCGCGCGGGCGTCGTCGGCCAGCTCCCCGAGGAAGATGTGGTCTTGCAGGATATCGTCGCCACGACGCCGAAGAAATGGGGGCCGAACTACTCGGGCTTCCGGGTGGAGACGTTCCCCGACCCTAACAGCGAGGATAAGAGCTACTCCCTGCAGCACAAGTATGTGCCCATGAAGTGCATCCGGCCGTTCGGCGCGTACGAGCATTTCCTGCAGGGGGTGCCTCGGGAGAAACTGCATCCGTCTATCGAGAATGCCCTGACCGTCATGGCTTCGTTCAGCTTGCTGGAGAAATACCGCTTCCAGGGGACGTGGCCTGATGCCGCGATCTACTGTCGTGGGATCTTCCTGGGGGCTGAATTCCTGGCGGTCGGCGACGCGGTGCGGCTCAAACCGTCGGGGTGCGATGCAGATACAGTCGGTCCTGCGACAGCAGTCACTCCCAACATGATGATCATCCACGAGATCCGCCTCGAGCTAAAGGAGTGCGACGCCGACCCGCGATCTAAACAACTGGCCGAGACGTACCAGGTGCGCATCCAGGGCAAAGTGTACACGAACGATCGCGAGCGCGCAGCAGCACTCCTACAACGGAGCCCAAACTCCCCGCAACCCCCACCCCCACCCAAACCCCTCACCTCGGACGAGATCGCGAGCACCTTCCACTACGTCGGCATGAGCGGCTACGGCGAGTGGTACCCGCTCCACTCCGGCGCCCTGGTCAACGTCTCCCAAGACATGATCCTGGGCCGCTGCTACGAGCCCGACGCGATGCAGCTGCTGTTCCGCTCGCCGGCGCTCCACTACGATCTGCACGGGGTGCTGCGCGGCCGGGCGTACTCGCGGGCGACTGACGAGCGCATCCGCCCCGGCAAGCGGTGGTTCTGGGGCGATTTCCGCACGCAGACGCTGGCGCTCGACACGCTCAACGGCGAGGATGTGGGCCACTACAGCGACGTGCGCGACGTCAAGATGTGGCGGGCCAATTTAAGGGTGATCGACGGCACGGCCAGGGCGGCGGACTTCCGCGACGCGAAGATCCCCGGCGACGTCGGGCGGCCGTCGACCAAGACGGCGTCGAACTTCGCGAAGGTCGGCAAGCTCAGTAAGCTGGTGAGTACGGGGTTGGGAGCGGTGGACGGCAGTGCGCCGGCGAGTTCGGCGGAGGATGGCGATGGCGATGGCGATGGCGATGGTGCTGTCTCTGGTGGGGAGCGTGAGTCTGAGGAGGAAGAGTATACGCTACGGATCGATCAGTTGCGGGGTGGGACTGAGGAAACTGAAGGAGGGGACTACGTTCCAGGACCGGGCACCACCGAGCAGGAACCGCAGAACAAACGAGCGCGCATGATGGAAAATGATGTAGTGTAGCTTAGCTTCACTTAATTACTGCCCTGCATCTGGACCGACACAAATAAACCCCCCCCCCTTCCTACCGATGATATCCATAATCAACCACCCCCCCCCCTCCTAATAAGTCCGCGCCACCACCCCCCTCGCAAAATCCGCAAAAGAAACCCCCGGCTGCACCTCCTCCTCCAAATTCGGCTGCGTAAACACCGCCAACGTATTCCTGGCGATCTTTCGACCCTCCAACCCTTTCCTCGCGCCCTTCACGAAGTGCGGCACCGCGCGGAACTGGCCCCGGGTAATCAACTGGAGCGCCTCGCCCGTCTGAAACGCCAAACAATCCCGGGGAATGTTGACCTTGACGATCTGGCCTGTGCGGGACTTGATGTACAGTCCCGCGGTGGGATCGGGCGACGCCGCCAGCTCCTCCAGTGGGGTTTGAGTGGCTGCCAGATTTTGATCCGCCTCATCCACAAACATCGCCGACGTCAACCCCGTCAAACAGCTGTGATCGAGGTGCGTGGCGCACCAGTCGTCATCACCTTCCCCCTCATCCCCCTCTTCCTGTTCTTCTTGGGCATTGGTCGGGAAGTAATGCAACAACCGCGCCTTCGTCGTCAGACTGCCCCGCACCACCTTCTCCAGATACCCGGGGACATAGTCGGAGACATTCTCGGCGGCGAACCGGTCGCACGCCCGCGCCACGAGCGCCGCCGTGTCGATGATCATGCTGCATAGCTCGCGGACGCTGGGTTCGAAGCTGGGGAGGCTGGTGGCGGCGGGCCAGATGTTCGGGGCCGTGTACTCCTGTAGGTCCGGGTGGTTGGCGGCGGGCGCGCCTTGCAGGTCCGGGGACTGGTGGAAGGCGCAGTTGAGGTAGTAGCTGCCCTTGTGGGTGTCGTAGACCCCTGGGCGCAGGGTCTCTTTGCCGTGCGACCAGCCGACGAGGTATTTTGCGGATTCAGACGTCAGGGTTTCGAGTTCGTCCGGCGGGAGAGCGGCGAGGTAGGAGGCGTTCGAGAGGACTTGGGCGCGGAGATGGGCGAAGTTCGGGGGCAGGTCTTTGACGATGATGATCCCCAAAGAGGAGGGGCCGAAGGCTTCGGTTAGGGTGGGGAAGGTGATCGTTCCTGTTCTTCTGGTTAGTTTCGGGGTTGTTTTGTTTGGGGTTTGCGGTTTTCGGGATATTGTATGCTATCGCTTGGGTGGATGCTGATGGATGCTGATATGCTAGTGCAGAGTAAGGGCTGAGCTTTACCATCAATCAACTCCTTCAGGCTCACGGTCACGGCTTGGCCTTGCGGGATGTCCTCTAGAGTCATGGTGACGCAGTAAATTCGGCGATGCCACAAGAAACAGACTGCAGGGAAAGAGAGAAATGACAAAGAAAGAACAAAAAAAAAAAGAGATGATTCCCAGAAATAAATTCTTCCCCAGACAAAATTTGGCTCGGCCCGCTCCGATGCCCGCTTATCAACGGCTTATCGGCTGTCAGCCCAGTATCTGCCGATGAAGATACGTCCGCCGTAGATATACTCATTCGCATAGTATGGACGGAGATCTGGCGATAGGAGAAATCTAGATTATATGGTATCTATAGTACAGTTCGTGGTAATGTACAATGCAGTGGTGTGGCTGATGGACACTCTAAATCTTCTCCAACTCCTCCTCGTCAACCTTCTCTGTCTTCTCAGACCGACGAGTGACCTGCCGGAGATTGCCAAACGGAAGCACGTCGCTGATCTTCTTGGCCCCCGTGAACAACATGCACAGCCGATCAATCCCGCACCCCCAGCCCCCGGTTGACGGCAATCCCCATTCCAGCGCCTCCAGGTAGCTCTCGTCGATCTCCTCGCTCTCGTTGGCCTCCTTGCTGAATCGCACCTGGTCCTCGAACTTGCGCCGTTGCTCGAAGGGAGAGTTCTCCTCCTCGTAGGTGTTGACCACCTCCCGCCCCTCGATGAACAGCTCGGCGCGCGCGGCAACGCGCTGGCCCGTCGTCGGGTCGATAAAAGACTTGGACAACGGAGACAGACATTCGGGCGGATTGATAATGAAGGTGGGGTCGATGCACTGCGGCTCGACATATTTGCTGCAGAGCTCGTCCAGGAGACGCGGGAGGGTTGGATCGGAGGGTTCAGGGAGGGAGAGGTCGCGATACAGTTCTTTGACCTGCGCTAGGGCGTCTGGCGCAGTAAGCTCAGGCAGTTTGCGGCCGATGGCCTCCTCAATTCCGGTGATGAAGTCGATGCGACGGAATGGCGCAGTAAAGTTCGCCTCGGTTGGGGTGAACGTGTTATTGGCGTTCACCTCGTCGATACGGGTCGACAAGCCCGAGAGAAGCTTCTCCGTAATGGAGATCAGCTCTTCCAGGTTGGCATAGGCGTGATAGAATTCACAAGTAGTAAACTCCGGGTTGTGTGTCTTGTCCAGTCCTAGATCCCCGCTGTCAGCACTCTCGTCCACATCGTGGTCCACGCGAACATCCCCTACCTTCATTGCGGAACGAGGGCCCAATCTCAAATACTCGATCAAACCCTCCAACAACCAACCGTTTCAGCCACAGTTCCGGCGCAATGCGCAGAGACAGCTGCCGGTCGGTGAACTCTGTGGCAGATGTATGAAAGGGGCGTGCAATTGCACCCCCTGCTACTGCCTCGAGAATCGGGGTGTTGACTTCCATGAAGTCTCGGTCGACAAAAAACTGGCGGACATATTGAATGATAGCCGACCGGGCGCGGATGATGTCTGCCGTTCGCTGATCTGCCAGGAACTGAACATGACGAGGATACGGGGAGGTCTCGTGCTTATGGGCGTCCAGCGGCACATCGTGCAGACAAGGCGAAAGGAGCTGAGGCATTTGAGTCGCCAAGATGGTGAGCTCGCCTCGTCCGGTACGGTGAGGCCTACCGGTTACGGCTGGGGGAGAACGTTCAGTCGGGGACCGACGGAATACAAAGGGTGTACTGGTAGGTGGAACATACAGAAGGCATCACCCCGGCGAAGCAGCCGCGAAAAATCTCTGAAGTGTTCGGGAGTCACCCCTTCCAACTGACGGATATTGCACATCACTTGCACTTTATGGCCATTTTGCGACATGTCGAAGAAGATCAACTTGTTGCCAGCCAGTCTAGAGGTACGTATCCTACCTACTGATCTAAGTACGGGGACAACATGTGGTAGAGCGCCAGCTGAGGCAGAGACCTACCATGGACAACAACCGTGTCTCCTTCTACTTCATTATAATCTAGGTGGGAGTAGCGATCACGAAATTCCGCAGTGCTCATGGAGTTTTCATTGCTCTCAAGCCGAGGATATGCCTCGGAAAGTGTCTTTTGGACCTCCTGCAGACGCTCCTTGAAAACTCTTTCCGGGGAGGCTGCGCTGCTGCTATGCCTTGACGCATTGGCAGCAGTGAGGCGCTGATTTACTCGAGTAAACTGGCCATTGGTCTGCAGAATCTGTGTACGGGTTGAGATGGGTGCTCCTGTGCTGAAGATGTCGTATTAGCAATTGCACTTGATCATTAAATGCAAGCGTGCCAGAGAAAAGGGTAGTAAAATCAGATGACATTAGTCTTCCAGTTACACTCATTACTTGGAGGTTTCCTCCAAGCATTCGGTGCAGCGGTTCTGAAAAATGGAAGGGTATGTCTCATCATAAAAAGAACCAGTTGCAAGGCAGAGGTAGTGCCGCTTGAGCTAACTCACCTAGACAGAAGCCTTCCGGCTCTCAGTCGTGACGCCCACTGCGGGCGGATTGATTGCATTGAGAAAGAAGAATAACAAAGGACTACGTGCTCACATCATTTGCAGCGAGACGGGAAAGAAAAGAAGAGTAGGTCGTGTGCGGAAGAGAGGCAGGGAAAAGGGCCAGCCGACAGAAAATCCTGAGGCGGTGAGAGGAAGCAAGCCCGCTCCGACTTTCCTTCCGCTCCCGGAGCTTCAAACAAGCAGAGCGAGAGAGACTTGAGTTCTAACTATACAACTCTTAACCTTCTTTTTTTTCTCTTCAAATGTGAGCGCCATGCTTCCCAAAGCTTCTCCATCAATTGTCGATTTGCTAACCTATAGCTCTAGCTCACCCCATCTCTCACACACCCCCCCCCATTCTCACAATGTCTTTCCTCTTTGGCGGTGCCCCCAAGATGTCCTCGGAGCAGAAGATTGCTGCCGCTGAGACCGAGGTGGAGATGATCTCCGACATGTTCAACCGGTGAGTCGACCGGTAACCCGGCCTTGAACGCTCTGCGTGAAGCTGCCCTTCTGGCCCTCGATGGCCGTCCTCGATACCTCATCTGTATCGGCATGAAACTGACCTCCAATCAACAACTAGCCTGACCGAGTCCTGCACCAAGAAGTGCATCCCCAACGACTACCGCGAAGGCGACCTCAACAAAGGCGAATCTGTCTGCCTCGACCGCTGCGTGTCCAAGTTCTTCGAGGTCAACATCAAGGTCAGCGAGAAGATGCAGGGTGAGGCCGCCAACAGACAGGGTGGCATGGGTATGGGCATGTAAAATGTTGATTGATATACTCTGGGGCTCAAAACTGTTTCCATTTATGTACTTGTATAATTGATTGGGTCTTCTTTTTTTCCGGGGAAAGTGGTGCGTGCTTGTCCTCAGGATTTCTTGCGCTACATTTACCCGTGATGACATATGGTTCTAGCATTTTGGATGACATTGTCTCTCACATAGAAAGTGGTTGAATGGTTTATGGGATAAGATAGCATTGGGAATGAGATCTATCCGGGATGTGAAGGTTCTGTCTTTATTGTCTCGTGTCCAGGTAGAGCTATTGCATTAAAGGAAGCATGAAGATATTCCCATCGAGCATGACATAAGATGTGGCTGAGATGCTGAGCTGTGGCTGGTGGCTGCTTTGACTGGACCATTCAAGTTAACCTGCCCGGTAGGCAGCTGCGTTCTATGCACCGTTAGTGGCGTTCATTGTTCTAGAAGCCAGTCCTGAAAAGGCAATACGAAGTTCTTCACTACTCCAGAACCATGTTTATTCATAGAACTCTTCAATCGAGGTATTCTCAAGGATGATCTGGCTCTTATTGAGTCGAGTTGATAACTGTCCTCGATAAACCCTCGGCTCACCGCTCCCTGATAAGTCGCAACGGAAATCCCCTTGTGACGTCGTCGGCTGCAATGCCCGGCAACCAAGAGGAAACGCACCGCACCGCACCGCAACAACCACCCGCTTCACGGCCAACAACGCCTGTGCTTTTCTCCCTTTCACCCTCGCCAAATATATCCTCACGGGATGACATGGACTGACAGCCGCTAGCTTGGCACCTCACGTTGAAGCTTGAGGCTCCATCAGCGCCCCCATCCCTTTCCCCCCTCATCCTGTTCGAAGTTTCTCGGATATGTCAATGGCACTTGCTTTCTGTATCGCTGGTCCAATCGAGAGAACACCCCTGGAGGGTTAAATATTTTGTGTCGCGTTCTTCTTTCTACTCTTACAACGTTCGAGCTCTAGTTCCCTGGCTGGTTCTAACGCTCGTCTCCTCGCTACCCTCCTCGCCCAGAAATTGAAGCTGTACTCATCCCTTATGTGTTAGGGAAGCTGGTACCGTTTCCTACGCCATGCCACCATCATCTCCCACGCAGACTGGTGGGCCTGCCACACCTGCTGCGATAGCAGCACGAGAGCCGACCAAAACAGTACCGAAAGAGAGTCCGCTCGTGCAAACGAACGGCCCCGACGGACAGTCGCCGCCCCCACGGCCGGGCCACCAGAGACTCGTCTTCACCGACCCGGTTGCCTTCCGCTACCTGGAGGAGGATCCGGCGACCATAGTTTTACACCGGCGAATGACTCTGGATGGGTACGAGGTCTACATTGTTGAGCAATGGGCGTGCACTCGGATTCATCCAACTTTCATCATCACGACCTACACGGGGGATCCATCGCACAAAGTCGCCGTCGGGGTGCTGAGCGTCCCGACGGATGAGTCGACGTGGTCGCCCCGTCTGCGGCTGTACTTCAACGCTGTGGTACAATGCCAGGCACAGAAGCGAGACACCCCCCTGGGGACGCTGATGGTCACCGATCTCAGCATCTTTCCGTGCGCCCTGGCACTCATACCCGTCCCGGACGGCGATGTCCTCAAACACAAGGACGATTTCATAGTCAATGAAAACCTAAAGAGGTTAGGTTGCTCGGGCCGTGCCAGCTTGAAGCTGCAACCCCCGTCGCCTGCTACCGAAGCCAAATTCCACCAACTCTACCGCACCAGCGAGAGAGTGCCCCTCTATAGTGCCGTGGTCGAGCTGGTGAAACAGTGCCAGATCGCCCTGATGATGTTCGGCAACCTGGCGCCGGAGTATGTAGACGGTCTGCTCTGTGATATGACCGAGGCAGCCATAGCCGATTGGTGGACCGAGATTGGGATGGACTTGTACAACATTGAACCCAGTGACAGTATGCTGGGCCCCATTTCGGTCTCGGCTCTTCTCGGAACTCTTATCGGAGCCCGGAATCGGCTGCATGCGTTCGGTGCCCCCGTTGGCAAGGACGCGTTCGACATCCCGAACCTCAAACGAGGGATCGGGAGCTTCCAGAAATCACAGAAGATAAAACGGACCAGACGGCTGGACCGCCAGACCCTGGACCGATTACATCGAGTCACTGCGAAAGCTGCGAATGCCGAGGGCTGGACCGACGCGGTGAAGTCAACGGTGGCCGAGCTGAGCGGGCATGGCGGTGAAATGGTGATGGGGATGGTTCGGGGGCGCGAAAAGGGCGGTATCGCCGATATTGAGACTTTGGACATTGACACCTTTGCGCGGCTGGTCAAAGGCGAGAGGGCAAAGTGGCTGTGGAGGGGCAAACCACGCAAGGGTGCCATTGGCGAGTCGTTCGGTGGTGGCCCGGCGGCAGCCGACATGCTTTTCACCAACGACGAGCAAGGCGGCTATCTTTGGACGACGCGGAAGAGACATTCTCAAGAGGACATGGCAGTGGATCGGCTGCCATCGGAGGCGGATCGCCCAAGGAAACCTTCCGAATCAGCCGCCATCTTCGACGAGAAGGATCAGAACCTGAGTAGTATCGTGCGGAGAGGCGTGAGTGGAAAAGTGTCAGACGCGCGAGCGGGATTTGGCAGATTCAAAGACGCGGTGGGCTTGCGATCACATCCGTCGAAGCATTCCCGGGAGGGGCAATACGACTATGGCGATTCGTCTCACCTGCCTCCGATTGACAGTGACACAGAACCAAGTCAGCCGAAAAAGCCCGACGGCGATCCGAACACTGCAGAGCAAGGAAGCATCCATGAGTCCGAGGGCCGAGCTCTCAAGGAGGATGCCGCGGCTGCCGAGTCTGCACCAAGCATTGTGCCCCCACAATCACCCGAAGCAAAGACACCCGCAATCACGGTGGAGGCCGTTCCGGACACTGCCGACTCGGAGTCTGCCCACAAGGTCCCGGTCTTCCAGCCGGCATCCGAGGAAGAAGTGCCCGACGAAGAGTCCCGCCGGAGGACTCCTTCGACAGACGTCTCCGCCGATCGAGAGCGGACGCCCGACATTGGGATCATGTTGCTGCGCCGGCCGCGGAGTTGCGCCCAGCTGCCAGGCTCGGAGGAGCGGTCGATGCCCGAACGGACCGACGGCCACTGGCCACGGCATCTGTCCTTCAGCACCGTGGAGGAGGTGGTGCTCGGCTGGGATGAGATCGGCGGCAACATCCAGGAGCGGCCCGACGCCACCCTGGAGGAGGCGATCCTCCACGAGGACGTCCTCGCCTCGGACGCCCGCCTCTTCAGCGGCCAGATCCGCGAGCTGAGCGAGCAGACCGCCCCCTGGGTCGAGCAGCAGGTGACCTCGGTCGACGACCTCAGCCGCTGCCTGCACGAGAGCTACGAGAAGATCAACGCCGCCTACCTGGAGCGGCTCGCGGTCTTCCAGCAGCTGCGCGGCAAATCCACCGACCTGCTGTCCGAGGAGCACACCCACCTCACCGACTACATGCGGCGGGTCGAGCTGATGGGCGCGAAGCTGGACTACGAGCTCCACGTTCTCGAGTCCAAGGTCGAGGACGTCGAGGCCGGGCTCGGGGAGTTCGAACGCCATGTCGCCGACGTGGAGACGAGGGTTCGGTTGCTGGTGCGCGGCGAGAAGGAGAAGGATAGAGAGAGCAGCAGCAGTAGCAGCAGCAACGGTGGCTCCTGGTTGTCCTGGCTGGGCAAGTTGGTTGGTGTCTAGGGTTGACTTTGTGTTGAGCTTGAGTCCAAGTCGCCCGGAACGAAAGAGAATCGTGTCCGCTTCCGTGTGTAATAAGTATATTTGCTATCTCTATTCCAGCACTTCGAGTTGTATACCCCCTGTCTATTATAGAGGAGAAAGAGAAGGCAATCAAACGAAAACAAACGCTGAGTTCTATATGACTTGACCCTTCATAGCCGAGCGGTGTGCCGAACTACAAACCCCCGGCGTGGGAATTTATGTTTACACTGCCCGATAGATATAGTAGGGACGGCACAGCCAACATCTACCATTCCTTGCGAAGTTCTTGATTTAAAACCAAGCACAGTAAACAGTAACGTCATTCTATAAACAACATTTTTCCTGCTAAAATCTAAACCGTGCCTGAAAAAGATCCAGGCTAGCGAAGTTTGATTATTTGTGAGCGGCTGAGGTGGTCCGTCGGTCATAATCCGAGGCTGTGATATGTATATATACTCTTCTGGGTAGCGGGTAGCGGTCCACCTCCGTTAGTGGGCTTGCTCCCTGCACTGACAACAACAATAAAACCAGGGTTTTCTTATTCAGTTGGACTCACGCATGCGTCCAGATCACCTCGGAAAGAGCTCAAGGATTGAAGCTTGTTTTCGAATTGAAATCATTTTGATCTTTATAATAGAACAATAGGAAATATGTACACCTACTCGATCCACTCCAGCCCTTGCGCTTCGCTTTGTAAGAAGAAAAACCCCGAGTATCCAGCCAGACCTAAATCTCGATAGAGCCGCGAACAAGAAAAGTAAAAAATATAGAAAGGCATATAAGAAAAAAGAATACTCCAAACGATGTACGTACTGAGTTCTGACCCTGGACGCCCGCTGATTACATGGTAAGGAGGAGGTAGTGTATGTACTTACTTGTAGCCCGGGGTATGATGACTCGAAGAAGGGAATAAAAGACTTAAAGAAACACCTTTCTGGCCTCGCGGGGATGGCTCTCGCTCGGGCAGTAGGGGCATTTGAACCGGCTGCCCTTGCACAATCGTTTGAGGGATTCCTCGGCAATGACGTGCCCGCAGGGCATCATCATGGGTGGGTTCTCGTCGGTGGTCTGTTCCTTGGAAACGGGACAGACGAAGATGGAGTGGAAGAGGTAGGATGGCGGGAGGGGGATTTCGACCTGCAGGGCGTGAGTGTCATTAGAATTCTAGCGGTATGCGGGGATTTGATTTTCATGGGGCAGTCTTACGGGTAGCTCGTTCTCGGTGGTCCACTCGGTGCGTTTGGCTCTCATGATGGTCTGTAGTTTCAATAGTGTTGGGAGGGCGATTGCGCCGGCGGTGGCGGCGATGTATAGGGGTGAGTCCGCCGAGAGGCCGAGCAGCGAGCAGAACTCGCGCGTGAAGGAGTGTGCTACGTCGGACCAGGCCGAGGGGTTGTTGAAGATGCTCCGGTAGGGCGAATCCTGCAGGTTGGGGCTAAAGGCCATCGCGCCCATGAGCTGCTGCACCTCGCGCAGGTATCGGGGCAGGAAGCCGTGGAACTCGCGGCGGGCGTATTCCAGAGCCGCCTGTCGTCCGGCGGGGGTGGGGCTCTGCTGCTCTTGGGCCCCGTGAAAGAGCCAGACAAACTGCAGCCGGCAGAGCTCGAACTCGAGGTTGCTCCCCCGCGCCGCCAGCGCCTCGTCATTGTCCCGGGCCCATTGTATGGCGGGCAGCAGGTTGTTGTTCTCTTTCATTTCGCGGAGGATGTAGTACATCGTGGCGAACTGTTTGCGCACCTCGTCGGATGGAACCTCGTCGATGTCGAGGATGGATGCGGCATTCTCGGTGGCGTTCGCCGTGTTGGCTTGCTTTTTCTCCGCCGCCTTCTTTTCCGCCATCTCAGAGAGGAAGGTGGCCGCCACGGAGAACTGCCCCTCCCTCAGCAGGTGCATCGCGATGGCCCGGTTGATGAGGTGTTCCTGGGAGGAGAGGAGGTCATGTTCGGTGCTCGGTAGGGGCCTGTCTTTGAATAGCTAGGAGGTCTAGACGTCAGCCAACATCCAGGCGGGGCTTCAAGATCGGACGAATCCGGGCTCGTGCTACCTTATCCAAGGACTTTGAGTATTTGTTGAGACCGCTATGGGTCTCTTTAAGACTGTCATTGATCGAATCGAAGGATGCTTTGACCGGATTCTGTAGCTTGGCGAGGATGATTGATGCTTGACTCGGATCTGGTTGCGATCTCCTTGTCAGTATAGTTCGGTGACTGCGGGGTGGTGGGCCTGAGGAGGGAACCAACCTGCAGCAATGGCGTCCCGCGCATTTTGCAGTAGATCTATCGAGTTTTGTACTGACTTGAGGCCTTGAGCGGCCTTGGTCTTCTTTACGAGCCTCTCATGTTCTTTTTGCACGAGCTCCATGGTGAGGGGGGCAGGCTGGAGGCGTATGAAAGCGGTGTCCGAGAGTTACCGCTCTTTGAGGGCGGAGCTGGCAATAGCCATAGATTAGGGATTCCCAAGACAGGCGTTTGCTTGCTGGTGCCTCGGAAGTCGACAAACAATTGCTCTGGAAATGAGGAGACAGTCGCAATGCTCGGGACAGTGAGAACAAAGCAGGAAGAGATGGAGGGATCTGGAGGGGGTCACAATGCATGGGCAGGTGAGTGTTCGGAGCAGGTGAGCAACTCGCTCTCCGTGGTAATACGACACTGTGCTGTCGCAGCCAATTACGACATGTCACGTCACGTGCCACCGGGTTGTCGCCGATACCTGCCGTACTGTACCTTCAGTGTGAGGGGTTCAGGCGCTGTACAATAATCTACCGGTACAGCTGAGTACTCCATCTCTTCCCTCATCCTTCTCATGCGGAGTGGCACCTCAATTGGCGCAGCCTGTAGGTGCCCGACACATTTCCCAAAAGCACCTAGGCCTTGGCTAATTGCAGGCTAAGCCTGACCACACTGACAAGAATCACCCATGGACCAGTCAGGTCGAGTTTCAGTTAGTCGTAGGAGTCAATGGCTGAATTCTCAAGATGGCAGGGAACCTTCAAGGATGGTCGGGACAACCATCACTCTTCTGCTCAACTCGTAACTAGACTGTGTGCCAGCGCCCGGCTTATTTTCCAGGCATCAACAGGAAAAATGCCTGAGGCCTCACAATGAGGACACGGCAAGGGCGCCCCGAGACCGCCAATCAGAGCTCAGAGCGCCTCTCGCTTCTGTCTAGCGCGGTGAGTCAGGCTTGGCGGGGGTATATAAACTTCCCGCCCTCGCCCAAATTTTAGAATCTTTTTTTCTTTTCTTCTCCATCCTGGTGCACGGGTTTTACACGTGTCAGTGAGGAGACATCCGAGACCGTGTTTTTGCTAGTTGAAAACTACTTTTTTGACCGCTCTGACTGGCCTTCGGGTCGGTCAGGAATTTTTGAAAAAAAAATACTGCTCTGAGCCCTGTTATGTTCTGGGCTCAGTTTTAGAGTACGTAGATGGCTGTATGCTTGCTGTTGTCTTCCAGTGTGAAGCTCGACTTCCATGGGCTGTACTCGCCAATCGGTCTTCTTTTCACTGCTGTTTGCTTCCCAGGTTGGAAGCCTGTAGAGAAGAGAGAAGATGAAGTGTAGTAAAGTTGGAATTGCCATTGTGCAACTACCACCTACATAATGGCTAGCTGCACTCCCTAGCTGGATCTGTAGTGTCGACAGATTTCGGGATATGAACCTGTCAAATGAATGCTTCCCTGACTGCGTGAACCTGCCTGGTCATAATGTTCTCATCGTAGCTGGTCATGTAACTTCGGCTCTATGCATGTTTGATGAGATGCACGCACTGGTCATTTTCGATCTGTCTGTCACCAGCAGGAAAAGGCCGAAATGATAGATCGCGAGATGCCGGCAAGTAGCGGACAGGTGCGGACGGTGTTGTGGTGGTGATTTGCTGATTTGGTGGCAGACCCTCCAGGTCCACACCCCCTTTCCGCCTCTTCTGCCTCAATCATTGGGCAATGGCTGACCCGTGACTGCGCGATCTTTTGGCGATGGAACCTCAACCACTTTACGCGTGCATTACCGGATCTTACGCGTGTGCTGCATGCTCTTCCACCATCCATGCTGCCTTCAGCTGCTGCATCCAAAAGCCTATCGAGTCCCTGTCATCCCAGCCTGCAGCAGACTACTTCTACAAGGGTGTCGAGTCTAGATGGTTTCTCTTTGTTCGATGTTGCCAATGGGAAACACCACCCCCCGTGAGGAGGCGTGGGGTGGGACTCGAGAGACTCTCCTTTTCCCCCTGGAACTTGGGACTTCTGCCACTAACTAGTCAAGGAAAGACAATACTTACATACAGGTTTTCATTTCACTCATCGTTTCATTGACTTCCAAGGAAGTCCATCACCTGGAAGATTCCTACCCTTCATTCACTCATCGAGCGCAAGACTGTTTTATTCTCTTTCTCTGACCCCCTATCCCCCTCACTTTTCGCCAACCCTTTAATCACAAACATGTTAGCTCTACAGCAACAGCAACAACAACGAAGCAGGAGTAGTAGTGGTAGTCCTAGAAATCTCTCCACCAGACGACAGCAAGCCCACCCCGAGGCCTTTTCCTCACGATATGGAGCCGGGAAATCCAGTACACGCGTCCTGAGAACACGATCTCGCGAACGACAATCGAGTACCTCCCGCCGTCTACTACAACAACAACAACATCGTCGGCGGGAGCCCCCTGATAGTCCCCCAGATGGCAGGTCTGTTTCCTCCAGGATACAGTCGCTTTCACGATTTCACCCAGCTAAACCGCAGCGCTATAGCTCCCTCACCCCGGCGACGGTCACCCTCTGCGTAGGACCCGAGAAGCGTCTCTTTGCCGCTCACAGGGACATCATCTGCGTCTCCCCTTATTTCGCCGCCGTGTGCGCCCGTGCCCGTGCTGCCTCCACGGATCCGAACAACACCTCCTCCAACAATCCCATCTATCTCCCCGACGAACAGCCCGAGATCCTGTCCTGCATCCTCGAATACCTCTACCGAGGCGACTACTTCCCGCGACTCCTGCACAACAAAACCCGAAACACCTGGCAGCTGGAGACGGCCTCTTCAACGACGGGGAGTAGCGATGCCGAACCAGATGGCGCAACCATCTTCCATCAGGGAGTAGGCGCGGAGATCCTGCGAGATACAGCTGTATAGTAAGTGTTCCCCTGCTTCGCCTATTATGTGTTTTGTAACCCAGTATCTCCTCTTTCAATCGTTCAATATCCATGCCCACATGTACCGTACAGATTGTATAACCCGCCCACCCACCTCCCATCAAAAGATTTCCCCTCCCAATCCAACCTCCAGTACCTCCCCAAAACCCATGCGTATTCCCCAGAAACCCACCCCCTCCCTAACATTCCCCACCAACCACCAACCTAGATCCCCAAAACTAATCCCCTTGGGCGGAAAACAACAGCTGCGCGGCCCAAAAATACGGCCTGGAGACCCTGAAACGCCTCGCCCTCCGCAAGCAAGGGCTGCACTCGGGCATCTCGTGCAGCACCATCCTGACGAGCGCGCGCTACGCCTACGCGCACACGCCGGACACCGAGTCCAAGCTGCGGGCACACTACCTCGCCCTCATCATCCGGAGCCGGTCGACCTTTAAGCGCAGCGGCACCATGCAGATGGAGATGGAGCAAGGCGGGAAGCTATTCTTCGATCTGTTCGTCGCTATGTGTAATCATATGGTGAGTCCCCCCGTTTTCCTTCATAAATAGAAAGGATAAGGTAGGATTTTGGGAGATTTGGTTTGCGGGCGCTGACTCTTTACTCCTTGTGTTTTGGGGGTAGGATGATTTGACGGGTGCGTCGGGGAAACAGCAGCAGTCTATGGCGAGTACGATTACGTAGATTTGGGGGATGTCTGGTTTAGGAGTGAGAGAGAGGGGTATCATGGGTACATGAGGACGGGGTAGATGCAGGTGTCGCCCACCACACCACCTTCCCTGCTGGTTTTTCAGGGCTGAGATTGGCTGAGTTTTGGGTTCTCGGGCATGTGGACTGTATTAACTTCATTTTCGACATGGGTGAGTTTTGCAAGCTTTGTATAATGTGCGTGTATACCTCATTGACTGTACTTTGGAATGTATGTATTTATTAAACAGTTATTTGATGCAATTGCTGGATATCTCGGTTACTTTCCGCAAACAAGGTATGTATGTATACAACGGGGTATTCCCTCCGGGCTAATGCATAGCTCCAGTGTCTAAAATTTCTTGTCGCATAAAGTCAAGTGTCATGGTGCGCGCTGATCAAGATAGCCCCGTACCCTTGAGCGTCGCCATCGCCTGGTAGGTAGAGCAATCTTCCGACGATGATCTTGTTCGAATGCTCGTGTGCCGATTCCTGCTGATTTCATGCCAGGTCGAGTGAGGTGTGATCAACCCGAAGACCAAGCTGGGGATTTTGCGTGACCAACTAACAGCCAGCGGGTGCCGGGCCCGCGGCGCCTAAATACGGCTGCTGATGACGTTGAGATCGAGGTATCGCTCAATTCATGGTCAAAAGTCTCATATCGAGCAAGGTAAAATTAGAGAAGCTCAATTTAGACACCCGTTCCCGGAAATGCGGACCCGCCCTTGCTCAACACGACCATACCACGTTCGCGCGCGATATATCCTTTCATGAGACCCTAGGAAGCAAGTCAGATCATTGAGCTGGGGTGTGCTGCATGATAGCTAATGGGGAGCGAGCACTGACCTTGTATATCAAGTTCGATAGCAGACACTCCACCTCGTCGATATCCACCCGGCACCTCTCGTCCGCATGTGTGCCAATGCGGACCGCAGCTGCGAACTCGGCGACAGGTACTCGGGTCCGGCGGATCGGAGGTTGGCCGTCTTTGGACTCCTCAAACCCTCCGGCGATAAAAACCTTCCGGAAGAGGTTACGCAAGGCGATGTCGCGTCCCCTCTCCAGAGGTAGGTAGATACGTCGTTTGACGAACTCTTCCTCGCCAGCTGACATCGCCGCATCGAAGCCTCCCAGATCGCCTTTCTTGATACAATTGCATAGGGGACGGTAGAGCTTCTCAAGGCGGGGGAAGGGCGCCAGGAGCTTTTTGCTGGGTAGCGTGTGTGTCGTGACCAAGTGACAAGGGATGAGGTAGGTGAGGATGAGTCTGGATAGACATTAGGACGGGGACCCCGGCAAAGGAGAAGCATACTCACTCCCTATTCTTCATTGCGCTGCGATGGCACATCCTCCAGGCCTCCGCCAAATGCTGCTCAGCCTGCCACGCGTCAGTCTGGGTTGATCAGTTACAGGTCTGGGCGCACAAACCTCGGCGTAGTTCTCATCGAGGAAGTGGATGACTCCAACGTAGTATTTGAAGGTGACGGTGTGGGACTTGGGGAAGGCGTCTAGTTCGGGAAGGTCGGCGGACTGCGCATTGAGAGCACGCAGTAAGTTCTTGGACAGGCCAATGGTGTTGAGTTTGAAATAGGTCTTGAACAGGAGGTTGGTCGTGTCGTATACCCCCCACTTCCGGGATTCCTCGATCGAAGACCTACAACGTTGTTGCGATTAGCAAGGATGGCGTCGACCCACATGTGATGCCGGACAGCCTACCGGTCAGTAAGGCACAACGTGAACATCCGGTTCAACACTCGAGTAGCCTCCTCCAGCTTCGCATTCTTCTCTAGACCAGTGGCCACGTCGTCTTGAAAGCCATCACCGAACCCATCGGATTCCTGGGAAGCGAGCTCGGCATCGGCTTTCCTCGCGAAGTGTCGCAAATACCTCCCCACCACATACAGACATGGGATCGTCCATGCTTGGAGACCGCCCGTCGAGTATCCCCGGATAAGTTGGTTGGCCGTCTCCTTCCACGCATTGAACACCTTGACCCAGCTGGCGCGCGAAGAAGCCTCTTCGAACCGGACCAGCTCCCCAGCAGCGCTCCAGTATGCCGCGAATATGTCCACCCATGAGTTTTGTTCCTGCTTCGGTAGTCTTATGCCATTGGCCTGGAAGAGGGAATAGCGAAGGTCCGACGATAGGCGCGCGGCGTTGGAGAAGTAGTAGAAGGACTGTAAACGGCCGGGGTTCGCCGAGGTTGAGACGGGGGTAAGAGCTGCGGCTAGGTGGTGACCAGAGCCGAGTTTCTGGCCATCCTTGAACTCTTCGAAGATTGAGCCCATCGTTGGATAGGGAGGAAATGGGTGAGTATGACAGTTCCTAGCAGCCAGTAAGTGAAGATGATATGTCAAGCACTCGAGGGTGGCCGGAACGGTTCAATAAAGCTGACGATGGGACTCGATAGACAAGCAAACGACCCTGCCCGATGATGAAACGGCGATCGGAGAAGGCGGGGAAAAAGAAGCGGATGCCGCCCGCCGAAAGGCCTTATCTAATCCTCACCGCCACAGCACTGTGGCTGAGAGACCCGATCAGGAATAGCACCGGCCAAGCCTCACGGTCGCTTAGCCCTAAGGAGGGTTAAACCTAGCTCACAATCAATCCGGTTCCCAAAAATCCTCCCTTCCGCGACGAGTACAACCGGCACATCTCTCGTCGACTAACCACTACAGCGTCAATCAAAGTGAGCCCACCCTTTTTGTCCCTCTTTTTACTGCCAGGAAATTGTTACTGACTGAATTTACCAGATGGGTGAGTTAACAATTTTTTTGAATTTTCCGATATGGTCCCCTTGGCGGTTCGGTTTTTTTGCGATGAAATATTTTTGCGATCGATGAACGGCACACCACGGAGATAGAATTTTGCTCGACCACGATTGAACTTCTTGACACGCGCGAGCGGAGGAAAAATGTGACGGGATTTCGGTTTGACAATGGAGGATAAACAACAATCGAGGAAGACACGGACACGTTATTATCTTTTACTCGAGTCGCCACTATTCGATCATGCACACCAGTACTCGAATCTTACCACGCAGACACCAATTCATCGATCCAAGCCAATCCACCAAGGGGACCGCACAGACAGGCTGTCGGATGGGTTTTCTGACTGGAATCAATAGGGCGTCTCCAAGAGTACCAGGTTATCGGGCGTCACCTGCCCACCGAGGCCAACCCCACGCCCAAGCTGTACCGCATGCGCATCTTTGCGCCCAACACCGTTGTCGCTAAGTCGCGGTTCTGGTACTTCCTGACCCAGCTCCGCAAGGTCAAGAAGGCCAACGGTGAGATCGTCAGCCTCAACGTGGTATGTCTACGATGTCTCCGCAGAAAGAAAGAAATTCAATGGCAAGTGTCGGCTGACACTCGACCTCTCTCCAGATCAGCGAGAAGCGCCCCCTCAAGGTCAAGAACTTCGGTATCTGGCTCCGCTACGACTCGCGCTCCGGTACCCACAACATGTACAAGGAGTTCCGTGAGATGAGCCGCACCGAGGCCGTTGAGGCTCTCTACCAGGACATGGCCGCCCGCCACCGTGCCCGTTTCGGTTCCATCCACGTACGTTCCATCACTACTGCCTCCTTTCCGGAGGCTCTCAACAACAACAAATTTCTAACGAACCCCCGCAGGTCCTCAAGGTTGTTGAGATCGAGAACGCCGAGACCATCCGCCGCCCCTACATCAAGCAGCTCCTCACCAAGGACCTCAAGTTCCCCCTGCCCCACCGCTCCGTCAAGCCTGGCAAGAAGCTGTACGCTTACTCTCGCCCCTCTACCTTCGCGTAAATGTGAGGATTTGGGCGTGGGGAAGTGGAGTGTAGGAATGAATGACTATGTTATGGCCATAGCATGCACGAAGGACACGGATCACGCGGAGAACAAGGCGTGTATCTACAACCCAGAAAATGGGACGGATGGTTTTTATGTCTCTTTAGTAGTCCTCTGCAGCGACCCTTTCAAGTTATTTCACAAAAATACCGGGGTTATTTCTTTTTTGTTCACTCAACCTACTTTTCTGGTTCTGTGGGTTAGTAGATCTTCATCCTTAGCTGGGATAAGATAATTGATCCGTATGTGACTAAATCTTGAGTCGCTGGCTAGAACAGTCGGCCTCTCCTCTTGGTCAGCCTGAACCTCTCCGCTCCGTCAGGTTCGGCGTAATGTGTTCGCCCACGCCAAGTCCGGGGGCAGATCTTGATGGCAGTGTGACAGCAGAAACAGCAATCAGGGCCTGGCTCGGATCTATGCATGGTGGGTACGAGGACTGGCTCATCCGTCAGGTGAACATTTGAGAGGAGGTGGGAAAAGACCTTCCAGGCTTGACATCATCCACCTTCCGCCCTTGATCCGGCTGCAGGGTGCAGATAGGAAGACAGCCACTTGGTCGTTCGCCTTTCGATGAGCACGCCATCGGCCCAGTCTAGTGGTTGTGCACTGCTTCTGTGGGTGAACATGCACGGTTACGTATTAAATCGAGGCATCAGCAGCCGTACGTCTTCTTTGGGTGAGCCCCTAGGTAGACGATTCCTGTTGCCTCAGAGTCGATTCAGAAGTAGATAAAATCGAACCGGCTGTTGTATATCGAATTCCGAGATCGCAGTTGGCTAAGGACTATATCCGTAATTCCAGAATCGAGAAGCTACGGCGTACTGGCCCCGAGAACACATAGATGACTTCTCTACATGCAAGTCACAGAACGGTCTCGATAGATGAAGCGGCATGTTTCAAAAAGAAACTCAGGTATGCGACGATACACGCAATGCCTCGACAATTGCCCTCCATGATCCGACCCCGATTGCCGGGGCAGGGTTAGTAATACCTGCGGAATTACCGCCAGGAACGGACATTGCGTCATGTGCGAGAACGGCGCTTCGGAGTCCGAAGTGAAGGGAAGGATCTCAAATATCTCCCTTACCCGTCCGAGCTTTTCCCTACTCTCTCCGCACCCCCCCCAAACAGTCCCATTGAGCACGTATTGGTCCTCAATCCGACATTTCAAAATGTTCGCTCGTCAAGCTTTTCGCTGCTCTCAGTCCCTGAAGCAGGTAAGCACTTCCATCCGAAAGATTGTTGTGTCTAGCGGTCGCAATTTTTCCCGCCCGTGCCTGGGACCGAACTCCCCTCCGGGAAGAATGAATTTGCGCTGATTGATTGCTGTTCTGACAGGGCTTCCGCAAGTACTCCACGGAGGCGCCCAAGGCCAAGGCCTCCTTGGCTCCTATCTACATTGGTGTCGGTCTTGCCGGTCTCGGTGTTGGTTTGTACCGCTACAACTCGGCCTCCTCTGCCACCGCCGAGGCCCCCGTCGTCCGCGAGAAGGTCTTCAAGGGTGGTGACCAGGGATGGTTCGACCTGAAGCTGTCCGAGATTGAGGTTCTCAACCACAACACCAAGCGCCTGCGCTTCGAGTTCGAGGACAAGGAGGCTGTCTCTGGTCTCCAGGTTGCCTGTGAGTCGAACGAGAGGTCCCACTACTGGAGAAGTTTTGCCGACCATTGACGTGTGTTCCGTTAGCTGCTCTCTTGGCCAAGTTCAAGCCCGTCGATGCTAAGGCCGTGATCCGCCCTTACACTCCCACCAGCGATGAGGGTCAGTGGCGCATTTTTTTCTGTTGTTCGTTAATTGGAATACTGACCCTGCATATGCAGAGACCCCCGGGCACATCGACCTTGTCGTCAAGGTCTACCCCGACGGAGCCATGTCCAACTACCTGCACAACATGAACGTCGGCCAGCGCCTGGACTTCAAGGGCCCCATCGTCAAGTACCCCTGGGAGACCAACAAGCACAAGCACATCACCCTGATCGCCGGTGGCACCGGTATCACCCCGATGTACCAGCTGGCCCGTGAGATCTTCAAGAACCCCGAGGACCAGACCAAGGTCACCCTCGTGTTCGGCAACGTGACCGAGGAGGACATCCTCCTGAAGAAGGAGTTCGAGGAGCTCGAGAACACCTACCCCCGGCGCTTCAGGGCCTTCTACGTCCTGGACCAGCCCCCCAAGGAGTGGACCGGCGGCAAGGGCTTCATCAGCAAGGAGCTCCTGAAGACCGTCCTCCCCGAGCCCAAGGAGGAGAACATCAAGATCTTCGTCTGTGGTCCCCCCGGCATGTACAAGGCCATCAGTGGCCCCAAGAAGAGCCCTGCCGACCAGGGCGAGCTGTCCGGTATCCTGGCCGAGCTGGGCTACAGCAAGGACCAGGTGTTCAAGTTCTAAGCCAACTGTACATGATAACCATGAAGCTCTCTCTGTTTCTTTTTGGCGATTGCTCTCTCCCACGGGGATTCGAATGTTAAACCCCTGTGAGAGTTTTAGAAGGCACGTCTTGTTATATTAGAGACCTTGGATCTAGCGAGCAGTGATTTTTCCTGCGAGTAGGCGCGAAATGATATACCTAGCTTTGATCTTTCCAAGTCTTGCGTTCACTGTGTATGGCAGCAGTTTTGCTCTGCATAGACCACTCTCGATCTTCAGCGTGACTGTAGATAAAACATCTTGCTAAATGATCTACTTCAAAATATACTTCGAGTCTGGATGTAGTTCAATTCGACAGTATCCGAGTTTCATATTGTATAGGATTAACAATACGCTTTCCGATTCAGAGTGTCTTGTGTGCCATACATAAATTGAGGACAATTCGGCATGAGCACCGGACCTGAGCCGGGGGGCATGATGCTGCGCGGGGCAGTGTTTTGCTGGGGGGGGGGGGAGGCTGCATGGACAGAATATATAGTGACTTATTGTATCGTGACCTCACCGACAAGTCCAGCCGTGTCAATCACAACAACAAACCCCATCCATCTTCTTAGCATTTCGCCTACGTACTAGAATTGACTACGACAATGGAATATCTTTATTCTAAGAAAAGCTACGCATCCACATTTATATACATACCCCAACGCGATCGATTCACAGAAGGTGGTTTTTGTATTCCAGTTGGTGGTGGTGGTGGTGGTGGCTACGTAGCTAACCACCTCGGGAGGGGGGGAAGCAAGTGCGCTGCACGGCAGGCTTGACGAACTCGAGCGAGGTGCAAGGCGCGGGTGCGTGCGGGGTACTAACTGTACCGTACCTAGAGTAAAGCGGACGCGCCCGGAGCAGGTGGGTGTCCAGTACCAGCGGTCAGTGTAGATTCGAACCGGAGTTACTGGTCTAGTGGACAAAGATATGAGGACACGAATTAGTATTAGTATATTTATTCTTTGATTCACGGACTATTGGACTATTGAGCATGGGGTGTATTATCTGGGAGAGGTTTGGTTTGATTGAGTATATGTTTGTTATTGTTATTCCTCATGGAGGTCAATTGTTCTATGGGGGAGTGTGCTGTAACCACAGTTGACAGAAGAAATAGGCGTCAGCGCGACGTAGCCGCGCCTAAATGAATCAGATACATCATGTCTTGTTTGTGGTGGTGGTTTTGGGGGGGGGGTAAAGCGAGAGGAAAAGCAAACCGGGCCCTCCATTGTTCTGCGGGCAGGGAAGGTGGGGGGGCTTGTTGTCCCGTGGCCATGGGGACTGAGGGACTTGGGTGACCTGGGTGTCCTGGGCAGTGGGTTTCAGCAGGTTTCAGCGGGGTTGCTGAAGCAGGTGAGACTGGCAGGTTCGAGGGCTGAGTTTCCGAATGGGCCCGAGACCGTAGTGTATGTGTGTGCTACAGGAGGCTATTAGCGACAAGCTTGACGGGGCAAGGATTGGGGGGGGGCCGCTGTTGGTTGTTTACAACGCGGAAGTGTTTAGGGAAGGTAGGGAGGACGGCGGCTCCCGCTGCTTACCCTCCCTAAAGACTGCCAGGGTGCTCAGCCCCCCAACCCTGAAGAAAGGGACCTTCAGAGCTCGGCCAGAGCAGACACGAAAGTTGGTGTTTCCTAAGCCCAAAGCAGCGAGCATTGCCAGCGTCCACCCCCCCCCGGGCCATCGGGCCATCACTATTTAGAAGGGAGTCTTCCCGCTAGGCTCGGGACCCCGCTAGCGAAAATTCTTCCTTCTTTTTCCTTTCCTTCCCACCCTCCCGTCTAACTCTTCCCACACTTTCTTCCTTTCTTCCCACTCTTTCCCCTCCCACCACACCCTCCCCCCCCAAAACGCACATCTCTCCACCTGTCCTCCCACCCCCCTCCAAACGTTCAGAAGTCGTGGTATTCGCCACCACACGTTTGTCGCATCATGTCGCCTAAGGAGGATTCCAAGGCCAGTGATGCCACTATCACCGTCAATGTAGATGATTTCACGCGCACTCGCGATAATGTAAGTTTCCTGGCTGATTTCTTTCATCTTTTTGTTGTTTTGATTGCCTGGTGAGCGGTGGGCGCTCCTCCCGGCTGCCCCCAACCCGGGCGACTTGGGCCGCCGCGCTCCTCTCAACAATCGCCTACGCGTCAGTAAACAACGCGGCGCTTCCCTGTTGCAAAGTCGAGGGTCAGGAGGGCTTGCTTTATTCGAATTTCGGTTCGTTTACACAAGCCATCCATTCAGCAGTGGGCTTGTACCCTGCCCAAGCTCCTCAGCCCCCCTCTGACTCTGCGCGCCACCGCCTCCTGCTTTGTTTGCTTGCTTGCCACGGCCCGATGCGCCCCGCTCCGGCGCATCGCATCCCTCCTTCACCGCAAGCTTCACCTCTCCCATTGACCCGCCCACTCCAATTGTCCTTCGCTTCAATGGTGTCCTATTGTAAATATGTCTTTGACTCAGGATTAACCTAACAATCTCCTAGGTCATTGCCAGCCTTGCGCAACTGGCCAAAGCGGTCACCACCGTGCAGGAAGCTTACATCAACCATGCCAACACTGTCCTGGGCCGGGATCCCGTTCCTCTGCTTGACCTGAGCCACCTCACCAGCGGCATTGCGGGCGCTCTCTATGGCTCTGGTGCTCGCGCCACGAGCCCCGGCGCGAACGCGGACACGGATGGGAAGAAGAAGCGCAAGCGCGCTCCCCCGGACCCGAACGCCCCCAAGCGCGCCCTCACCCCCTTCTTCCTCTACATGCAACACAACCGCTCCGTCATTGCTAAGGACTTGGGTCCCAACGCGAAGCCTAAGGAGGTCTCCGACGAGGGTACCCGTCGCTGGGCCGAGATGGAAGAGTCCGAGAAGGAGGTATGTTGCTACCCCGTCTGCCATTTGCTATCAATTTCCTTGGGAGGTCTAGACTAATAATGCCGCACAGATCTGGAAGAAGCTTTACGCGGATAACCTGGCTGAGTACAGGAAGAAGGTAGTGGCCTACAAGGCTGGACTGCCCTATGAGGATGACCTCAAGGCTGAAAACCAGCTGCA